GTTCGCCATGCTGCGTTGATGGGTTGTACTTCGTTGCAGTGCATGTCAGCAACATGCATGTTAGGGGCTGATTGCTGATATGTTGCTGCTTGCTTTGCTAAATTGGGCTAACCCAACAAGCCCTACAACCAATAAAAAGCAGAAAATACAACCTTAGAGCCTTAAACCTTGAAACCCTAAAAACCCTAAAGGATAAAACCCTAAAGCCCTGGGCCCCTGAACACCCTAAAACCCTAAAAGACCTAAACCCCCAGTTTAGGCTTTCAACCTTGTAAGCATCCAGGCCTGCACCGACACCCCCATTCACTACACCTTTATAATCTAAGCCCCTGAAAGCAAAATCCTTGAACTCTGCAACCTAACCCCGACAACCCTAAACCTCTAAGCCCCCGAACCTACATTATGAACCTCAAAAGCCCGAAAACCTATAGCCGGGTCCTAGGAATTTCTCCAAGTCAATCTCCTGGATCCTTGGCAGCATAGCGAGGTTTTAGTGTTACCGGAGGCTTTGTTTTTTTTGTTAAGGCTCCTTGTTTTTGAGGCCAGCCTGTCCCAGAAGGCTACCACAGCTTGGAGAGAGGAACCCACTCACCACCACATCGCACTTCCTTGGAGACCACATGACCCTCGGTCCTATACCCTTAATACTATGAATCCCTATATAGTGTATGACCCTTAAACCCTTTTAGGATCAAGGCTTCATCAGAAACTCGGGGAAGTTTTATACGCTCTGGTCACGGGTTGTCAACTGCTCGATACAAGGTCCGTGCCAAGTTACTACAAAGGCCTTAATAATTCAAACAGGGTTTTGGGCACTTCTATACTATACATATACTGAGGAACCCCAAATAGTATAGGTAATTATTTAGGCCCCTATATAAGGGCCTTAGGGTTTTGCGTTTCAGGCTTTAGGGCTGCAGCCCTTAGCACTCCCTTGAGGGTCATACCAGCCAAGGCTGATGAAAACAAAGGGGCACCAACATGTAGGGGCCTCAACATGTAGGGGCCTCAGACTAATTGTTCGGGCTCTTTTCAAGCTTGTTGCCCATCATGAAATTCATGGAATTCTTACAAACCCACCCGAAAGCCTTGTAAAGACCTTATAGGCCTTCATGAAACCTCCATAAAGCCCCACCCTAAACCCAAGCCCTAAACCGTTTCCCCACCCCTCTACAGTAGAAGCCCAAAAGTTGGAAACCCAATAGCCTCAAGGCCCCTGCACTATTTGGCCCTGATCAGGTTTCCAACTTTTTGGGGTTTGGGGTTTAGGGTTAGGGTTTGGGGTTTGGGGTTTGGGGTTTAGCGTTTAGGATTTAGGCTTTTACTGTAACCCCTTTTTTGGCCAGGCGTCCCCATTGCCGCTGCCTGCTCACGGCAACTTTCGATCTCGATGTACCGCTCCTGGCTTTGACCTGGCGCTCGGGGTGAGCTTTCTTTAGGGATTTGGGGTGTTTTAGGGTTTAGGGACTTCTTGGGGTTTAGGGTTTAGGCTTTTCGGGAAGCTTCGGATTAGGGATTTAAGGGGGTTAGGGTGTGGGGTTTGACCCGGGTCTTAGGGGGAGCATGCTGGTCAACTACCGTTTTCTTATATATAGCGATTAGTATGATAGGCTATGACTATAGATTTGAATACGATCTACTTCAGGCAACCAGTCTAGGATTTGAGCTTCTGAACTTTAGCGAATCAAGGTTTGTGCTTGTAGCGATACAAGTATGCTTTAAGCCTTGCCCCTACAAGGATCCCTGCCCCAGCCCCGACAGCTTGCAAGACCCGCATGACACCCTTTTAAAGCCCCCCCATTTACAGAGCATAAACAGAAACCTCGTAAGACTAAGACCCACCCAGAACCCATTAAACATACCCTTGCGAACACCGTTTATATAACATTTCTGATGAAGCCCACCAAAACCTTTAGAAACCTTGGAAAACCCAGTAGAGGATCCTAAACCCTACACCCTAAACCCTAAACCCCTAAACCCTAAGCCCTAAACCCTAAACCCTAAACCCTACACCCTAAACCCTAATGCCTTCCAGGACGTGGAAGAAGTGGGCCCAACGAGTGGGAATCACCTCCAAGGCCTCTCTGCGGAGGGCTTCGGGTCTGGCTTATCTGGAGGATCATGGGACTGGTTATAATTGGTGTTTTAAGTCCCCTGAGTGGGGTTATCCTAATTATAACCTACTTATAACCTTACTTACTAAGTTCCATGAACTTTTAAGTAGGGTTTAGGGCTTGGGGTCTGGTCTAGGGTCAAGGGTCTAGGGATTGGGAAGCAAGCATCCATTATACTTTAAGTAGGGTTTAGGGGCTTTGGTTTTTGGGGTTCAGGGCCTGATAATTATAGGACTTTCTTTCCCCAAGGGTCCAAAGTACCAAATAATTAGGTATTCGGTTTTAGGATAGTAGTGATGTAGGTTAGGATTTTGAAGAGTATATGATTTTTGGGTACTACGGTTGATGATATAAATCCTGCATTACCTTCAGGACCCTAAGCTATGGGAATTATGGTATATTCCCTATGATGGGTAGTGCAGGATTTATATCATCAACCGTAGGACCCTTGGGGTTACATCCATGGCCTGATTGGCTGGTTTTGACGCCGGGGTCCCGTTACTGGCTCCTGGCAAGCGTGCTTTCAGCGCACTGACAAAGTCATGGGGTTAGGTACGGCCCCCATACAGGAAGATAGTCAACTATTACTGAGTGGGGGCCGTACCAAAGGTATCTTATCCTAATCGTCCAAGTACCTAACGGTCATTTACTCGCCCAGACACTAACCAACAACACCAGCCCGAGTTGCTAATCATAAGGTCCTTTGAGCCCAACAGGCTATGCTCTAATAGCACGGAACCCTAAACCCTAAATTTTAGTTTAAACTCTAGCCCCTAAACCTTAAACCTTAGTAAACCCACTAGACCCATTCTAATCATCAAGGCGCCACTTCACGTCCCGGCCTTGGCCACATCCAGGGCCAACGAGTTTAGGGCCTCAGATGGCCAGATCCAGATCTTCCATACCCCTTACTTATCGGAATAAACCTTCAGAAGTAAAAAAAAAAACCATTAACAAGAAAGTCCCTGATATGCTTTAAGGTATATTCCTTAATTACCGGAATATACTTTAAATGATGGGAGGATCTCTCACATGATGTATTTCAGGTATGATCCGTGTTTTGAAGGATTTTGGAAGGCAAAAAAGAGCATTGCGGTTTAGGGTTCAGGGTTTACGGGTCTCAGGGAACACTCACATGAGTGCGCTCAGCCCGACACCCCCAACCCCTAATTAAACCAAAGCCAGAAACCTTACTAAAAAAGAGGCCCTAATCCCAAACCGTAAAGACGCTAAGGCCCACTATCGCCCAATTTGGCTTCGCATGATCATTCGTATGCGAAAGGCAGAACCTGTCGTAAGTCCAAAACGCCCTAGCGACAAAGCTGTTTCTATCTGTCGAAGAACTCCAGATGCTGCGCATAGTGTTCATGCAGCGCATGCTCCCTAAACGAGTGCCTGAGCAATTCTCACTCAGGTCCTAAGCTTTTCGTCGACATCAATTGGGTCAGCAATGATCATCCTCAACGTTTCATGCTCGCATGTGCCACCGGTGAAAGATGTGACAGCTCCACTCCTGTGCCGCGAACAGTTACTAGTACTCTTTTGAGTCCTAATGACTTCACAAACCGCCCATGCCACGTGCATGTTGCTATTCAGTGCGAGCGCTGTTGGATCACATCTTCGTCGAAGTGAATCATTCCAGCAAATCACCTAGAGCGGCTGTTTCTGCAGTCCGCAGGAGCAAAATTCTCAGCCAGGAAGAATATAGGGGCCGTAATAATGAATTAAACTAGGGCTTTTGGGTTCATTGTACTGTAATTGCACGTAAAGAGCCCCCAAAACGAGTAATCATTTTTGTTAAGGCCCCTATATTTGGAGCCTTGCATCTGTGCTCCTTTTGGGTTTGTCCGCCCTCCAAGCTTCATCTTCCCAGAGACTCCAATATCCCTTAATTAAGGAATATTCCTTAAATTATGGTAGGCTCCCTGATATGATTTAAGGTATATTCCTTGATCAAGGGATATTGGGTCTCTAGGCTGATCCATATTGTCGCATCCACGCTGTACTTGCGCGATAGCTGTCTCTGGCTTGAACCGCTTGACTCCGTGAACTAGAGCTGATGCTCCAGTCAAAAATTCTTGCACCTTTGGGCAGCCGTCCAAACTGAAAATCCCTGTGGTATTCACCTGCCGTCCACATGCACTCTCCATGGCGAGAGCTATGATCAGAAACGCTAAGATCTTTGATCGTCGTCACGAGACCAACGAATGCTAAAACTCCACGCGCTACCCAGAGACTCCAATATCCTTTGATTACGGAATATTCCTTAAATTATGGTAGGATCCCTAATATGATTTAAGGTGCCATGATTTAAGGTGCCAGTACATTCCTTATTTGAGGAATATTGGAGTCTCTAGGTAGGTGCTGGGTCTCTGTGAAGTCTCCCCAATTCTGACGGTGGGCTAATCCGGCCAATTCCGAAAAGGTGGCTGGCGAATTACTCCCTAACCCTGGCAGCTCCTGCCACACTGTGTACTTGAAGGCTCCTGGGACTTAGTAAGTAAGGTTATAAGTAGGTTATAATTAGGATAACCCCACTTAAGGGACTTATAACCCCACTTATAACCTACTTACTAAGTCCCATGATCCTCCAAGTAACTATGTCTTCATGTGCCAATGTACACACAAACCCGAAATCTGACCATCTCTATATACTCGTATGAGACAGCAGCCCCACTTTGGATCCACCGCATCTGGCAGAAACGCCAAAAGCCTCAAGTAAGAACTGCGTGCCTCAGCTTCTTGTTGTGTTGAGTGTCTACGGTCAGGGTTAGGGTTTAGGGTTGGGTCCTCAACCTTGAAAACCACACGACCCCTCACAAGTAGGGGTCCTAGACCCTTAATAACACTATGAATCCCGATATAGCAATTGGCCTTCACACTCTTTTAGGCTTCTGTTGGGCCTTAATGCTACTAAACCCTAATCCTTTAACCCCTGACCCTAAACCCTAATGCCTACTCAACCCTAAACCTTTAAAAGGGAGCCCTAAGGGGATTTTGGGCTCCCTAAACAGGACAAGCCGTTTTCTGCATCGCAGGGGCTTCGCGCAAGCGCGCAATTCCGTGGAGGCTTTGCGCTGAGTCCCCCCTGGCATCACCGAGATGGAGTTCTTCAAAACTTATCACGGATCACGATGTAATGTTATGTTGTACAGATCTCGGCTGTTCTGAGTTCTCACGAGGCTTGCTAGCCACTCTCAGAATTTGCAGGCGAGGTATGGAAGGTGACCAAAGTCTGCTGAAAGACAGCCCGTAAGTACATGAATAATTATACCTCACAGTGTATAAGTGTCGTCCCTTAAGTAAGGGGTATTGGGCTCTGTGGGCAGAGGGGCTGTTTTGGGATCAAGGCAGGATACTTGTTGGCAATAAAAGGCGCCTTGGGAATGACGGGCTTTGGAATTCGGAGTTGAAGGCTTCGGGTGTACAATTCAGAAGTGGCCCGCACCCTGTAATAGTGGTATAATAGAAATATAATAGGGGCCCAGTATAATCCTTATAGTCACTATTACAGTGTGGGGGCAGCTTCTAGTGTATAATTAATAACTAGAATAGGGTTTTGGGGCCCAATATACTAGAGCTATAAACAGGAGCCCTCCAAAATAGTGTTGGTAATTATGGAGGCCCGCATAGTGAAGGGCTCCCTGCAACCTAGGCTTCCTCATGGTTAGCTCGGGTCTGGGTTTGAGACAATTTGGGGTTCATTTAGGATTTCACGGTTTAGGGGTTCAGGGTTTAGGGTCTACGCTAAACCCTAAGCCCTAAGTAAATAGGACCCAGGAAGTTCGCAGTAAGAAAAGTTGTGGGCATCTGGCCTGTTGTCCACTGGAAAGAACAGCAAGCCCTCCGCTTCATTCCTGAGATAGGGCTGGGCCAACTAGTGTCTGGGGTGGATCATACGACGGACATTGTCATCGAAAATGCCTCGAACAAACTCTAAGCCCTAGCACGCAGCAACAGTTGTGCCCGAAATCGTAACGTCCGTGAAAACCCCGCAGTGCTGGTTTTAGCCCAGCTCGAGAATTATCCTGCTTATTCCTGTTAACAAGTAGCCTTCGTCGCAGAGTTGCAACGGATGATTGAAGAAGTACCCAGCAGAGAGCCCAATACGGATTATACCTTGAAATCATAATGCTAAGCCTCTTCAAGTTTAAGTTATAATCCTTAAATGAGAGGTCTTGGGTTGTCTCGGTGGAACGGGTTGAAGAAGTGGGTACTTTGGGATTGAAGGCATCGCCTATATCCGAAAATCCAAGACTTGGACCGGAATCCCCAAACCCAAAGCCAAGATAGGGTTCATGGGGTGAAGTGTCTAGAGTAAAGGGTTGAGGCCTGACCCCTAAGCCATACAGGTGTCGCCAAGATTCCCAAGTACTTTCGCATGCTTGCGCGCTTGCTGGAGACGCTCCACCAGCACTCCATTGATGCTTTTGTACACCTCCTCTGAGGTTACGAGTCTTTGCTACGGTTAATGATAGAAATCCTGCATTACCCATTATAAGGAATATACAATATGTAATTCCCATATAGTTTAAGGTCCTTAAGGTAATGCAGGATTTATATGATCAACCGTAGGGTTGGGGGACCCCTAAACCCCAAACCAGGGTCTACTTAAAGGATCATGGGACATAGTAAGTAGGTTATAATTGGGGCTGTAAGTCCCCTAAGTGGGGTTACCCTAATTATAACCTACTTATAACCTACTAAGTCCCATGAGCCTTCAAGTAGGGTCGAGAGCTTCGGGTCCTGGAGTTCTGCTTGTTTACCGCCCTATGGAAAATCCAAAGCAGCGTCCCATTGCAGACCACTGTCTTCGAAAGCGGGGCTGTATAGGTAGTTCTCTAAACTAAGGTCCCTTTTTAGGTTTCCAAAATCAGTACGGCGCCCCTACAAAAAGGACCGTCAAAGGGACCCTAATTTGGAGTATGGCGTTCCCTATTACTAAGGTTAGCCTCAGGGGTGTAAAGTTTTGCAGTATCAAACGACCAGGTTGCATGCGGGCTCAGGGAAGCTGAAGGATAGGAAGGATACAGTTGGGTCGAATATAGGGGCCTGAATACCCGTTGGGCTCTCTGGGAGCAGTACCCTAAACCCTAAACCCTAAACCCTAAAACCCTAAACCCTAAACCCTACCTAATCCTTTCAGGGGCCCCAGGGCAATTGGGCCGACCTCGTCCTGACACCTCGAAGCTGCAACATGTTCGACCTAAGCCCAAAGCGGCATAACTTTCTAGAGCATAAGTAGGTCCAAGAAGATCATATCCGAAAACCCTGCGATGCCAAAGCCTAGAACCCTGATTGAGGTTCCTGTAAGAGCTCTTATATGGCTTTAGGGCTTGAGGGTTCCTGCTAGGGTTCGATTACCCTACTTAAGGGGTCAAGGGACTTAGAAAGTACGGATAATCGGATATATATATATATATATATATATATAGAAGTAATTAGAAGCATAAATAGAAATATGTACAAATGAACAAATAAATAAATCAAAAAATATCTATATCTATATTTACACATATATATACATATATATATATATATATATATATTGGGGGTTACAAGTGCCCCATTCCCTGAACCCTCACTCCAAAGCTCTCCGAAGCCTAGTCTCCGGACCCATGTCTTATCGCGGAATAATACCGGCACTGCAAAGCGACTTTGTTACTGTGGCTATCGGTTTTACTATTCATCTTGTTCTTATCCTTCATCTTATTCTTAATTATGAACTTATTGCTGATTATTATTATTGTCGCGATCGACTTTTTGTTTTACTCAAGCCCCTGTATTGAATCGGAGGCCTGCTGCCGCTCGGATTCCAGCTGATCTGCGTGGCCTCAGCTCGGCATCTTTGGACTTTACAGTAACCCCAATAACTTGGGTACTGCCCCCCTACAGTAAAAGTCTTTGATAGGGCTACTTTTAAGGTCCTGATATATCTATATTATGGATATTATCCAACTGTTACTGAGGTGGGGCAGTACCCAACCAATAACCTACAGTTTTAAGGGCTCATTATCTACTATTTGCTTAAGAACCCCCCCCAAAAAAACAAATGTATTCCTTATAGGGATAATACAGGGATTATTATTTTTATTTTTTGGGGGGTTCTTAAGCAAATAGTAGATTATAAGCAATTCATCACAAGGAACCCTAAACGTGTAGGTTCCGTATGGTCCAGGTAGGTTTAGGATTCAGGGCCTGAGGTTTAAGAGTTCGGAGACGAGGGTTTGCCTACACCCCAGACAACCTACCTTTTTCAGGACTATATTGATCATCTACACCCAACCCCCCAAACACTCAACCCCATATTTTGAAACGAAAAAAGGAACACTAGACATGTATTACGGGGCCATAATAATTAGAATAGGGTTTCAGGTTATGATATACTGTAGTTATATAAGGAACCCCAATACTAAAACCCCTATAACACCCCTTACAGTAATCCTTGTCGACTTCTTCTAAAGGAACCCTCAAAGGAACCCGAGGTAATTATTGAAGGCCCCTATAGTAGGTTTTCTAGGCTTGCTAGCGCGATGGGCTCCATCGTCCCAATTTTCGGGTTTCGGGAGTACCCCGAAAGCCCAAGACCTCTTAACTTTGGATTCAGCGTTGAGGGTTCCCTATACCTAATCTCAGAGACTCCAATACCCCTGACTATAGTCTAGGGAATATTCCTTAATTAAGGGATACTCTGGGATATAAGTGTCTTGATATTATGTTTTGAGGGAGATTCCTTGATTAAGGGTTTCTGTGGGTTTGAGGCTTGCTTCAAGGCCCACGGGACTGAGTAACTAGGGCTCCCTTAAGGGATCTATAAGGGTTCTATAGTACGGGGGAGTTTAGGTTACCGAAGGGCCTAGGGGACTTAGTAAAGCTATAATTCCGGCGTGGGGTTGTTCGAATTATGCATCTTACTTCTTTCCCACTTCCTCAGTCCCTTAGGCGTCTGAGTACCCAGACCTCCGGGAGGATCCAAAAAGTAGAGCCCTTAATGGGGGCTCCCACAAAAGTACCCATGGTAGTACAGGGCCCCAAATGAGGGGATCTACTTTCTAGATCTTCCCGGCGGTCTGGGTAGGAGTGTACCTTCGAACAACTCGCCTTCAGGTATTCCAGAACGCCCTGAAACCAACCCTAAACTCCAAACCCTTTATAAAGCCCTAAGCCCTATTTAAAGGCTCATGGGACTTAGTAAGGTTTAGGGTTCCTTTCAAGGGTGCTATCGGGTTCTCGGAAAAGGTTCCCTTTCAGGGTTTAGGGATTTAGGCTCTACTTAAAGGCTCATGGGACTTAGTAAATGAGGTATGAGTAGCTTATAGTTAGGATAACCCCACTTAGGGGACTTATGACCCCAATTATAACGTACCTACTACGTCCCATGATCCTCTAAGTATCTGCTCTGCACCAGTGAAGCTCCAAATCCCTCGATCCCGACCCAACACACTGAAGCTTCCCGAGGGTGTATTGGAGGTTTAGGGCTCAGGGTTCGGGTTAGACCCAACACACTTAAGCTCCCTCCGGGTGTCGATCCTGTGGATATGTGGCACTTCAAGGGGTGGGATGGTCTGACTAGGGCCGCTAAAACCCGAATGGCCAACCCCCTAGACAAAGCCTGCGCTCGTCAACCCCAAACCCTGAACCCATTATAGAACCCTTATGAAGACTCTTGTAACGGCATGTCACAATCCTACCTTTTTTTGCCAAATTGCCACAAGCCCGATGCCTTCCCAAAGACTACAGTACACCCTAAACTTGCCCTACACACCGAAACACCGAATCGCTTCAACTATACCCTAGCCTGGACCCTAAACCCTAAACCCCTACACCCTAAACAAACCCCAGACGCAAAGCCACTAAGACAAAAACCATGTTTATAAACCCTCACGCCATGCCCCAAAAATCGTAAACCTTTAAAGTCTAAACTCTAAACCCTGAAACTACTAAACCCTAAGCCCCTAAACCCCAAACGCATACATGAACCCTCACCCTAGGCCCCTAAAATCCCAGCTGACTCAACCCTAAGCCCCTAAACCCCAAGCCACTCAGCCCTAAACCCCTAAACCCTAAACCCACTCAGCCCTGAACCAGCAAACCTTGGGGCCGCTGCTTCCCACGATCACCAGCCAGGCATCCGGGGCGTGCACCTACTTTCAAAGGGGAAAAGGAGGGACCCTCATGGGGACCCCTACCCTATAATGGGCTATCTAATGGGTATATAATAGCGTTAATAAGGGTATATACCTAGGGCTCCTTCTTAAGGGTCCCTCCCTTTCCCCTTTGATACTTAAGGCTCATGGGATGTCTATACTGCCTTACGGTTGAGGGTTTAGGGTTTAAGGCTTAAGACTCATGGGATCCGTCTATACTGCCTTAGAACCATAATAAGAACAATATGCTTAATGTTCTCTTGGGCTTTATATGAACAAAAATAAAAAAAGTATTCCTCAGGAGACTACAGTAGTAAGCAAGGTTCTTTAAAGAGTTCCCTAAAGGGACCTATGGGGTTCTATACCGGGGGGGTTTAGGGTTACTTCAAGGCGTAAGGGATTTAGTAAGTAGCTTTTAAATAAGGGGATCCAATCAATCATAACCTACTTACCATATAAGTCCCTTGAGCTCTGAAGTGGGTTTAGTGATATAGGGCTAAGCGGTTGCTACAAGGATTCCGATTTAAAAATATTCCCTTCAGAGTTTCTGTGTAGCGGTTTCCGTGAGTGCTCAAGAATGTAGCGGCCTTGCTGAAAAGACCCGGGCTTGCGGCTTAATTGGACAGTACGTATAACCCTATCAAGGAACCCCAGGGGGTAACCCCGGTAATTGTTCCGACTTCTATGTCCAGCTTGGGGTGTGGCAATGGTGCAAGTAGAGCTAGCAGCCACCATGTGTTGCATCAAGGCCTCTGAAACTTCACCAGAAAAACTCACGAAACCCACACACGCCTCCAAACCGACAAACCTTGTGAAGTCCTACAACCTATACATCCTAAACCCCTAATTACAATGAGAGCTAAGAACTCCGAACCATCGAACAGCCCGGAACCAACCTCGTAAAAACCAAACACTCTCAAACAACCACAAACCCTCTAAGAGCAACAAAGCCCTAAACCTCTAACGAGAGACCCCCCGAAGTCCAAAAGATCAACTCCGAAATGGCAAATCTTGCAATGTCGAGGCACCAGGAGTGCCGCCAACCAGAAATCCACTGACTCCTAGGCTTCGCGTTTGCAGGGGTGTTTAAAGTTCAAGGCGGCAGTGGGCTTCAGGGTTTAGGCCTTAAGGCGTGAAGTTTAGGGATTGTAGGTCTGATTGAGGGTTCAATTTTTTTCAGGTTTAGGGTTCAGGAGTCAGAGAGTTTGGGCTTTAGGGTCCTGGCTGCAAAATTACCTAGAATGCCCAGTAACCAAGGAATAAAAAGGGTTCCCTTTTTGGTTTTGGGTAACTTTACAATGAACCTAGGACTACAAAAAGGGAAAAAAGGTACTACAATTACACTTCTAACTAGTAAGCTAGCGAGAAGCATCATCAACAGCTCCATGGTTGTCGTGGCACGACGCAGCCGCAACGATGACATGTAGATTCCTCTCTTATGCGCCAAGTTCTGGGATCCTTTCCGTGATCACTCAAGGCGGCAAGGGCAACTTCCATGATCGGCACATGTTGAAACGTCAGGTCTCTGGCGTCGCCCAAGACATCAAGGTGTATCTTCCCCCTGGAAAACATGTTCTTATCGATCCTGTGTTCAAGGACCCAGACCCTTTCAAATTCTCTAAGCAACGGGGTATACCTTAAAACATATTCGGGATCCAACTGTAATTGAAGGTATATTCTATTCCTGGATAAAGGGATATTGATATTGGAAGATCGCTGGATGTGTCACCCCCACCAAGCCGAACCAAAACCCTAAAATCCTGAAGCACTAAACCCTGACACTGAAACCCTAAACCCTAAGCCCTAAACCCTACACCCTTATATTAAACCATAAAGCTGAAGCTCTCAACTTGCGGAGCGTGGACCCCTAAACCCTAAACAGTCCGGATTCGGGGTTTCGGGTTCAAGGTGCACAGTCAGGTTCCTCTCGACTCCTTGAGATTTGTCTGGAGGGATGCAAGTCTTCCAATATCCGTTAACCGAGGAATATGCCTTAACTAAGTTATAGCAGGATCTCGAATTTACTAACACGGTTTAAGGTAGATTCGTTAGTTAAAGGATATAATGATATCAGGGATTTTGAAACATCTGTGTCACAAAAGCATACCAGCCTGGGCTCTTGTGGAACATAGCGTAGAAGTGGAATAACGCGCCGTGGGGTTTAGGGTTCAGCACTCCAGTACAGTCTATGGTATTCTGGTCATACCATAATGATTATAGTGTATCCCCCCACCCTCATCCAGTTGTTACGAGTAGGGTGCCTGTATAAAGCCCTACTTGGACCATACAAGGCCCACTATGTGATTCTTCAAGCCTCTGTGCTAAACCCTAAACCGTAAACTCTGAACCCTAAACCCTATAAACCCTAAACCCCTAAACCCCTAACCTGCCAAGTTGCTAGAGCTGGAGAGTGCGCCTCTCCATCATCCCACTTCGAAATGTCGAGGACCAGCGCGTAAATGCCGAAGGATGTAAGAAACCTTGGGGGCTTATAGGCTCCTGTAAAGTCTGATAGTGCTGCAATTAAGGAGTTGCATAAGAGCTCTAGGGATTCAGAGGGCCTTAGTATAGGGGCCTTAGTAATTATAGAATATGGTTTTTGGGGCTCCTAAATAAAAGAGTTATAATAAGCAACCCCCCAAAATCGTATTGGTAATGATTTAGGCCCCTATAGTAGGCCCTGCGCACTAAATCTTTTTCGCTGGGACTGTACTGCTCAAGTGCAGAAGCAAACACACACCACACCGCAAGAGGGGGACGGCAGTCCACTTCCCCAAAACGCAGCCTGCCGCCCCCGACCAACATACAGTCCCAGCCGAACCTCTACCCCAAAACGCAGTCCGGCTGGTGTCAGTCCGGTGACAGTAGCTATCTTAGCTATCCAAGGCACTTGGGCCCTGCCAAGAATTCGTCCCACATCTGCAGGATGTCATTCCATGTGATTTGCACATATGTCGCCTGCGCTATTTCAGCAGGCATCTTCCAGTCCTTGCCGGGCTGATTTTTGCGGCTGATGATGTCCGCTGTCTCATTCCGCTCACCTGCCAAGTGCCCCACTTCGACATCGCAATTCAAGTGGAGCCCTGCGTAAGCCAACGTCATCAACGCGTAGCATAGTGGCGGTTTGGTTGACAGGCCCTTAGCTATGGAGCCAACGACTGGCATGTTGTCACTGCACTGACGCAAAACCACTCTATGGCGAAAGGGAGAATCATCAACACGCTTCCTCACCAGAACCAGGGCGAGCTGTGCCAGCAACTCCAACGTGGCGATGCCCTGCTGCATAGTGCGCGGCCATTGCCAAACGCTGGGCATGTCCTCCAGGCGCAGGCCCAAATGGAACCAAAAAGATTCCCCGGCCGAGTTTAGGCACCAGCCGCCCAAGCCAGAGAGAGATGCGTTTGCCCATGCATCTGCAGCCCCATTCATGTCCATGCGCGCGCCCGCCCAGTAGAATGTGTTTTTCAACACACGCGTTTTCAACAACCGCAAGGCCGCTGTGGCTGCAGAATCCAGATTTGTTAACTTCCCCCATTCACAGAAGCGCACCCATGCCATGCCACCTGGGTTGTCGCAGGGGTTGTAACCCCCCAGCCGCCGAGGACACCGCCCTCGAAGCCACTTCGCGCAACTTCCACCCTTTCTGCACGTCTGAAGTGCTAGCAGCACGGGACACCAACAGAGTTCCGGGGTCCACGATATCCACTAGCTCATGCAGCTGATCCAAACGCAGCAGCTGCATCTTGGAGACGGGCCGGTGTAGAACATGAAAGAGAGGAGCCAAGAACCCACGCATTGATCGCTTCAACTGAGTTGTCCACACAAGCAAACCAATAAGCTCTTCCAACTCCTTTCTCAGCACATGTCGCGGGTGCAGCACGAACCAATTGATGGCACACAACAACCGCTGTATTTTGTAGGCCGACAAACTCGCGAAGAAGTCGCCGTCCTTCAAGGATAACTGCCAACCCAGGTAGGTGACGCTCAGACCTAGCTGCAACTTTGTCCAGCTCAGCGGCACTCCAAGGACCTGCGCTAATGCAATTCGTAATGCTACCATGGGCAGGTGCGCAGCTCTTGGCAGAAGGAAAAGGACTTCAAACGTTTGCAGGTGCTTCCAGGGTCAGGGCATTAGGATTTGAGGGGAGTTCCGTTTTACACAGTAAAGGAGCAACGCTTGAAAGTGGCTTTTTCTTACAACATGGTGCATTTCAAGCAAGTAGAATGAGTTCTTTGACTATATATGAACACAAGTGTATACGTAATATAGAGACTATAAGAGGCTACCGTAAGTAATCTTTCCAACCTGTATATCACACTCCTGACTCCTAACCTTAAGCCCTAAACTCTAATCCCTAATCCTCAAGCCCTTATATTACCAGGTTGCTACTTCGTATCAGGCCATAAGTCTTAAGCCCTATAGCTCTAAACCCTACGCTCCATACCTTACAATCTGAGCCCTGCAACCTCGACCCTAAACCTAAACCCGACAAAACCAAGCTGCGAGCGGCACCTTGATTCACTCCAAGGGTAAAAGGAGGGACCTTTAATAAGGACCCCTAGGTACATGCCCTTAATATAGCTATCATATACCTATTATATAGCCCATTATAGGGTAGGGGTCCCCATTAAGGGTCCCGCCTTTTCCCCTTTGATTCACCATAAACTCTAAACCATAAACCCCACAAGCTGGGTTCCTTCATGTCAAAAACTTACTACACGCGCCTTGAGGCCTTGATGTGTAGAAGAGGGCTCCTTTAATGACAAGGTGTCTTGGAGGGTTCTCATGAAGGCTACTTTACGGGTATACTGTAGCGGGTTCTTATAAGGGCTACTTTAAGGGCCTTCATCCTTAGAAGAAGGTGTGTGTGTGTGTGTGTGGGGGGGGGGTATATTCGAAATATCATGCGATCTCCAAAGGGTCCAAAGCGCCCATATTATAGGAGAAGGTGGGGTTTTAAATGTTAGGAGTTACATTTATGCTTTGGGGAAGTACTCCCCATAACAGTAGCCAGGACCCTCTGGGAGGAACAACAAGACTAATCGTGAAAAAAATCTGCAGACAAAGACATCACACTCCAATTTTCCAGAGAGTCCAATATCTCATAATTAAGGCATATTCCTTGTTTAAAGGATACTGATATTGGAGTCTCCTAAACCCTAAACCTTATAGATCCCTCATAGATCCCTTTAAGGAACCCTACACTGTTCCTGAATTAAGGGATGTCGGAATCTCCTTGTGGATCCATGGGGCCGCTACGGCCACTTGATAGCTATCAGCTCTGGGTTCTGAAATTCGTAAAGCCACAACAGCCCTAACGGGTTCCTGTAAGGGCTCCTTGATGGGTTCTTTTTAAGGGCTCCTTATTTAAGGGCCCCTCACAGGGTTCAATAATAGGAGCCCCTTGATAAAGGGTAGGAAGTATGCATATGGTTCTATAATAGGGTCCCATAAAGGGTCCTCCACACCTTAGACCCTAAACCCTAGACCCTGAACCCTAAACCCTAATCTCTAAACCCTAAACCCTAGACCCTGAACCCTAAACCCCAATCTCTCAACCCTAATCTCTAAACGCTGAACCCTAAATTCCCACCCAGGCCTGCTTAGGCCGTACCCACCCTTTCTCTTAGGGTGCCTGGACCCAGAAGGATATCCGGCAGTGATTGACACCAACTCTGGATGGACAATGGGTGGAGCCATCGGAGAGTGGTCGAATTCAGCCCCTAGGGCTGAGCCAAGCCATTAGGCCCCTTGCGTGGCGCCCATATTCGCAGAGGGAATTCCCTCGAATCTCAAGAGATTGCGACGACCAAATCCCTTGGTGGTGTTTTCCTTTTGGCCCCCCCTCAGAAAAGGCCCCAGAGGCCGGCCCAGGGGGGCCCCCCAGCTGGCAGATTCCAGGGACCCGGGGGGCTCCTGGCGGGTCCTAGGGGGAGACCTGGGGTCTTTCTGCCCTTCCCAGTTTCTTGGCCATTTCTGGTGCCCCAATGGCCCCCCTGGCCCCCCCTGGCCCCCCATGGCCCCCCCTGGCCCCCCCTGGACCCCCCTGGCCTCGCCTGCCCCCCTCACTTCCGGCGCGTGCGAGGGGTGGCTTTCCGGTTTTGGGTCTACTAACCCTGCCGCCCCCTGGCCCCTGCCCCCCCTTGGCCCGGTCCCCCTGGCCCTCCTGGCCCGCCCTGGCCTGGCTCCCTGACCCTCTTGAGCCGCTCTGTTTTGTGGCGTGTGTAGGTGCGGCTTTCCTGGCCCCAACAGACAGACCAGGGGCAGGTGGGAATTGAGGGCGTAAGCGCTAAACCCTAAAAGGCAATGTTTTGGGTGGTAGCCTGTGTATTCTCACAGCGGGTGGGAAAAGGTGAGGAACCAATGTGTAATTGTTTGGTGGTGGAATCGCATTCGAACGCTAGACGTCGATATGCCGCCCCCCCACACCCCTGGGAGTGTTGGGGCGCCATCCTACATAGAAAATACTGCCGCTGCGCGGCGAGACGCCCTAAACCCTAAACCCTAAGCCCTAAACCCTAAACCCTAAACCCTAAACCCTGAACCCTAAGCCCTTTTAAACCTGATGGCCCTCAAGCCGCCAACTTTTAACTGCCAGGCACCTGTGCCTCACTCCAGGGCTTAGGGCCTTTAAGGCGCTCTAACCCAGACCTTCCAAAATCCCTTCATTAAGGAATATACCTTAATTCATATTAGGGATCTTATAATAATTTAAGGTATATTCCCTAATTAAGGGATTTTGGAAGGTCTGGGAATGTAGGAACTGTAGGAGCTGATTAAGAAACTTTGGGCTGTTATTAGGTTCATGGTTGGGATAGGATTAAAAATGTACATGTTGATTCCTTATTGGGTTCAAGTACCCATAACACTGTAAGATGTTACCCAACTATGACAAAGAACTAGCGGGTGAAAAGAGGTTAATGGTTTTTGGCTCAAAGGCTTTGGGTTTAGGGTTGAGGGCTTAGGGGTTTACCCAGGGATCCAAAACCCTACTACGGGCTATAACCTACTATTGGGGTTCAAGTTTCAGGAGGTTGCTTTCCAAGTATAATTTCACAAGGCATGCATTCGACGACAACATAATCTAGAACCTGAGTGCGTGACACGTGCGCCATGTTGTAGTACATCTGCTGGCCAGCAAAGTCCCATGTCTGCATGATCACCTGGGCCACAATGACGAATGCCTCTTCCACCACCATGCGTACTTAGAAAAACCAAGGGTTACCCACTGCGCCGTACTTCGGTTTCACATCTTCGTACAAGTGCACAGACAAGCCTGAGTGAGGGCCACAACTTCATGGGGACCCCTACCTTAAAATGGGCTATACAATGGGTATATAATAGCTGTATTAAGGGTATATACCTATAGGGGTCCTTGTTAAGGGACCCTCCTTTTACCCTTGGAAATCCACCCCCCCCCCCCCCCCCCCGTTTCCCAGGCCCGGCTGTTCAGTACGAGAACACCTTGAACCATGAACGCTTCTTATCTAATGTAGAGGCCTGAATAGTTAGACGAGGCTTTCTGTAATTTTGTGCAATAAAAATCGGAATGAAGCAAAGCCGGCTATGTAGGCACCTAGATTATTATATCAACCCCAAACCCCGAAACCCGATTCCATGCGCAAACAGGCCACATCCCTCTGGTGCGGCGCATCCTCGTTGGAGATTGCCTTGATTATGAGGTCCACCTGCCGAAATAGATTTAAGGACCAGGAGTAGGTCGTGCTGGGCTTTGGGAATGCTGCGTTTCTAAACTCTCGATCAAGCCGACATGAATGCGCTCCTCTACACTTCCAGCTCGAGTGGTTTGTAGTTTCCCGAAAACTGTGCAGCTGCGGACAGCCGTCTACTTGAAGGCTCATGGGACTTAGTAAGTAAGGTTATAAGTAGGTTATAATTAGGGTAACCCCACTTAGGGGACTTATAACCCCAATTATAACTCCTACTTACTAAGTCCCATGATCCTCTAAGTTCCCTAAACTCCCCCTTATAGAACCCTTACAGACTTATAGATCCCTTAAAAAAGGAGCCCTTTAAAGGAACCCGAGGGTTTCTTACTAAGTCCCATGATCCTTTAAGTAGCTCCTCACCAACTCACCAACCCCCCGTTGCTAGCCACCCCTATAACTACTATTTGCTTCAGAACCCCCAAAAAATAAAAAAGATATTCCTTATAGGGATAATATAGGGATTATTGTTTTTTATTTTTTGGGGGGGGGTTCTTAAGCAAATAGTAGATAAACTCCTCTGTGATTCAAGCGACCAAATAGGCTTCCTTAAAGGGTTTGGGGATTAGGGTTTGGGGTTTAGGGGTTAGGAAGTAAGGTTTATAGGGGTTAGGGATTAGGGTTTATAGGAAAGCATGCACCCACACCGTAAAAACCCGACCTAAACCCGAATACTGCATCTAGTCTCCATAGAACCCGTCTTGAACCCTCATAGGAACCCTCGCAGAAACTCAAAAGCCCGAAAGCCGAAACCCCAACCCCCGCCGTTCCGGACCCATCTCCGGCACCCGACACCCTCAACCCTAAACCCTAAACGGTCCTAACCTTAAAACCTAAACCCTAAACGGTCCTCACCCCTAAACTCTTGAAAACCCAAAACGGTCCTAACCCTTAAACCCTAAACAAACCCCAAACGGTCCTACCCCTTAAAACCTAAACCCTAAACGGTCCTAAGTCCTAAACCTTGAACCCTAAACCCTAAACGCCGGGCACCGGCATCTTCACCAAGAGCGGCGGCCCTCCGTCATCATCTGCCTGCTCTCTCTTGAAAGGAACCCCCTTAAAGGATCCTTTAAGGGATTCCTAGAGATCCCTTTAAAGGAACTCTTTAAATGCACCACCCCAAACCTAGAGACGTATATACCTTAACTTCTAGTAGGATCCCTAATAGGATTCGAGGAATATTCTTTAATTCAGGGACATTGGAGTCTCTGGCTCTCTCTTGAGATTACAGGGATGATGCTTTAAGGGCAAAGATTGTAAGTTTCAGGCTTTGGGCTTAAGCTTCGGATTCCGGATTTAGGCGTTGGGGTTTAGGGGTGTAAGGCTTAGGAAATAAGGAGTGGTAACACTACGAGTTTTTCACGTTCTGAGACTGTTCTGAGTAAGGAGACGTGCACGTGGTCGTCGTGGTGCTCTTCCACTGTTTGGGGATCTACGTTGGCGATATAGACCCTAATAGAGAAACCTAAAACGGGTCCTTATTATCAGGGCTCCCACAGTAGGTACCCCTAATTAGAGATTAGGGTTAAGTAATTAAGTCTTTAGATTAGTGTAGAGGGAATAGGATTATTAAGCAGATCTTGGGTCTAGGAGTTTCATGTTGTTTAGGGTTCAGAAATTACTCCGGGCTGGAATGAACCAGTAAGCACGAAGCCCGCAGATCCTTGATTCGCAGCTAGCTTGTGGGTTGTACGGCTTAAGTAGTCTATAGTTTATATGTGTACTTTAGGGGTTCAGGGATTTCTGTGACTTGTATATGATTACTTTGTCCTTGTAGTGCTTTAATACTTTAATAGTGCACTCTAGAGATGTTTTTTAAGGGTTGGTAGCTGGGCTTTAAGAAATGGGCCTCAACAACTAGAACATGGAATTGTGTGGCTTCTGTGCTAGGGTTTGGATCTAAGGGCTTTTGCGTATTGTCCCAGACACAACCGAGCCCAAGCACCACGGCCTACCCGCTCTTTATAAAACACCGAGACCCTTAAACCCTTCAGTCAACACCACACCTTAAGCACCAAAAACAAAACACTCTCAAACCTAAACCCCTAAAGCCTTAATAGCCCTGAACACCTTTAAAATACATACGAGCCTTCGTAACCGATACAGTCCTAAAACCCACTCAGCACTCCAAGCTCACAGCCCTTAAAGGAACCCGCATAGTAACCCTCAGGACAGGTCGCCATAAAGAACTTTTAAAGGAACCCTTACAGGAACCCTTACGGGAACCCTTGAAGTAACCTTTCAAGAGCCGTCAAAGAACCAGTGTTGCGACAAGTTTACAAGAATTCAGAACCCCTATAGAAGACCCTTGAGAAAACCTTGATGGAACTATAGAAGGCGACAGGAAGCCTTAAATGCACGCTTTTCATGCCCCTCCAAGAACCCTCAATGGAACCCTTCAACTAACCCTTGAAGAGGCCGTTGAGCCCTAAACCCCTAAATCCTAAACACCTAAACCACTCAAGCCTAAACCCCTACAACCTAAACCCTAAACCCTGAACCTCGAACCCTTCCCCAAATCCCTAAATCCTAAACTTCCCCCAATAAAATCAATTAAAGAGCACATACAGGCCCTTAAAGAGCACCAAAAACGGACCCCTACACCCCAAACCCCTTAAACCCTTTCGCACCCTAAACTTAACCCTAAACCCCTAAAGTGATTAGGAACCCAAATCCTACACCCCTCAACCCCCCCAAAACCCGTAGGAACCGTAAGCTTAAGCCTGAACCCCTGAACCCCTAAACCCCTAAAACCCGTAGGAACCTTGGAACCTTTAAAAGAACTCCAAAAACGGCTAAACGGACCTAAACCCTTAAATCTCTTCCGCACCCTAAACTTAACCCTAGTTACACACATGAAAAATAAACTTAACCCTATAAAATTAGAGCCCCTAAAACCCTTAAACTGACTACTTATTTATTTAACCCTAAAACCCCTAAACTTAACACTAAACCCTTACAGCCCCTCAAACCCGCAAACTGAACCCCCAAAACTCCTAAAACTTAACCCTAAACCCCTAAAAGCCCCTAAAAAAAACCCTTCTAAACATATAAACCCTTAAAGCCCCTAGAAACCCTTAAAGGAATCCTTAAAAGGAGCCCTTAAAGGAATCCTTAAAAGGAGCCCTTAAAGGAATCCTTAAAAGGAGCCCTTAAAGGAATCCTTAAAAGGAGCCCTTAAAGGAATCCTTAAAAGGAGCCCTTAAAGGAATCCTTATAAGGAACCCTTAAAGGAATCCTTAAAAGGAGCCCTTAAAGGAATCCTTAAAAGGAGCCCTTAAAGGAATCCTTATAAGGAACCCTTAAAGGAATCCTTAAAAGGAGCCCTTAAAGGAATCCTTATAAGGAACCCTTAAAGGAATCCTTAAAAGGAGCCCTTAAAGGAATCATTAAAAGGAACCCTTAAAGGAATCCTTAAAAGGAACCCTTAAAGGAATCCTTAAAAGGAACCCTTAAAGGAATCCTTAAAAGGAACCCTTAAAGGAATCCTTAAAAGGAGCCCTTAAAGGAATCCTTAAAAGGAGCCCTTAAAGGAATCCTTATAAGGAACCCTTAAAGGAATCCTTAAAAGGAGCCCTTAAAGGAATCCTTAAAAGGGGCCCTTGAAGGAATCCTTAAAAGGAACCCTTAAAGGAATCCTCAAAAGGAACCCTTAAAGGAATCCTTAAAAGGAGCCCTTAAAGGAATCCTTAAAGAGCTGCGTCCTCGTCCGAGGAGGCGTCGCTCTGCGGCTGCGGAGCGCGCGAGGGCCGAGCGCATCGGTCACGCCGGGCCTTGGCCTCCGCTTTGGGGTGCCGTTTAAGGGGGATCCTTTAAAGGGATCTTTAGGGTTTAGGGTTTAGGGTGGTTCCTTTAAAGGGATCTTTAGGGTTTAGGGGGGTTCCTTTAAAGGGATCTCTAGGGGTTTAGGGTTTAGGGTTTTTTGTTTTAGGGTTTAGGGTTTAGCATTTAGGGTTTTAGGGTTTAGGGTTTAGGGTGGTTCCTTTAAAGGGATCTCTAGGAATCACTTAAAGGATCCTTTAAGGTTAATTAAGGAATATTCCTTAAATCCTATTAGGGATCCTACAAGAATTTAAGGTATATTCCTTATTGGAGTCTCTAGGTTTGGGGTGGTGCCTTTAAAGGGTTCCTTTAAAGGGATCTCTAGGAATCCCTTAAAGGATCCTTTAAGGGGTTCCTTTAAAGGGATCTCTAGGAATTCTTTAAGGGATCTTTGAAGGGCTCCTTTAAGCTTTAAGGGGCTCCTCAACAGAGATCTCTAGGACTCCCTGAAGGGCTTCTTTAAGCTTTCAGAGGTTCCTTTAAAGGGATCTCTAGGAGCCCTTACAGGCTTCTTTGTCTTCGAGGGAGTTCCCTTAAGCGCTCTTTTGCGCGTTTGGGGTTTGGGCTGGGTGCGGCCCCCACTCAGTAATAGTTGGATAATAGTCATAATAGATATAGTAGGACCTTAACAGCAGCCCTATTATGGGCTCTTACTGTATGAGGGCCGTACCTAAGGCTTAAGCGATGGGGTTCTACAAAAGAAAACCCCTTACAGGGAGAACATAGGGTTTCTATATGCTTTAGGGTGCTTTGACGGGGGCCTGGAAGGTTCGCTTAGGGTGCCTTTGGGGTTCCGTTAAAGGGTTGTCTTTGAGGGTTTAGGGTCTTAAGGTTTAGAGGACGTCCTATCATAGAACCCACAAGGACTTCGTACCCTTTATGAAAGGGCTCCTATTATAGAACCCTTGAAGGGGCCGTATGGGTTTAGGGTTTAGGATGTCCCATGTTTAGGGGTTCTTTGTGCGGTTCAGGGTTGGAGTAAGGCTCCTCTGCAGTAATGTCAAAGCCAATGATCTCTGCAATGGTGTCCAACAAACAATAATGAATGGCGTGCTGAGAACGACGGTTGATCAGGTAGTTACCGACGGATGTCAAAAAACCTCCGGAGCACCGGATCATCATGCCAGTGATGAAAAGCCTGAAGTTGTCAAAAAACAGTGTACATCTTCTTCCCTCTTGTCTTTGAAACGCTGGCAAAATCACTGCTCTCGGAGAACTGGCTGGTCAGCCAATCCATGTCCATTTGGGTTTAGGGTTTAGGATTGTTCGGCGTAGCCTGTGAGCATCTAGGTCTCCGGTGCATCTATATGTGTGTGATGTGCACGCCGATTCAGCCGAAGTGAAGAACCAGTATGTTCTAAATCAGTGTCAGAAACCCATCCACACGAAGACCAAGATGCCAAAAACAACACTTCTCAAGAAATAGCCTACACCTATCAACACCCTCACATGCATGTAGGTTCAAGTGTTCAACGTGTTCTTATAGCATCTTGGCCATCAGCCGAACCTCGACCACAGCCCTACAGGATTTAGGCTTCGGTTTTCAAAACCCGAACTCTATTATTCTAAACCCTAAATTCGAAACTCTAAGCCCTTAAAACCCGAAGCTTTGCCCTAAATCCTACCCTACGCTCTTAATCCCACAAAAAACCTACCTTCTTGTATTTCCGAAAATAGGGAACCCTACTATAGTACCCTAATATAGTAGGACTCCAGAATAAGGTATCCCTAATTTCGGAAACTCCCATACAAGGAAATCACCATTAGGAACCCAAAGGTCTTATAGGGTCCGGGCCAAACCTAAAAGCGCGACAAAGGTTGAGACAACGCCGCCACCTGACGCCCTGTGACGCTTGAGGTTTTTGGAGTTTAAGGGGTCTAGGGTTTACCTTAACCCACCTACCTTCGGGTGTTTTCACAGTGTTGCAAAGTATTATAACAGTATACAGCGGGTCTACGCCAATTTGGGTGCGCATGACCCCGGCTAAGATGACTTGCTACGTCCCCTCCTGGTCCCCGATGCAAGCAAGATCTCGGCTTGAGGATGTCAGAGTTAAGGGTGTAGGGCTCCTGGGGATTCAGGCTCTTAGGGTCTAGGGTTTAGGGCTCTTAGGGTTCAGGGTTGGGGCTCTTAGGGTCTCGCGTTTCGGGCTCTTTGGGAGTATAGTATAGGGTCTAGGGCCTAGGGCAAAACCCAAACCCTAAACCATCGGGTCCAGGCGATCCGCTGCCTTCATGTTCTCGGCAACGGCCTTTGCCACTTTCTCCTGCCGAGCCGTTGGGAGACGCCCAAAACCAGAAGAGGAGGCCCAAATAAGAGCGCACAGGGCTTAGGGCCTAGGGTTCAGGGTCTAGGTTTAGAGTAATGCCGGGGCCTGGATGATTGGACTAACGTTTGGGGGTGTGCAATAGTGTACTTCTATAAAAGAGAACATCAAGGAACATGACGGTAATAATTTAGGCCATTTAAGCTTCCATATCATGTACTGTAGCAATGTAGCAATCGAAGCAGCAATTGCTATCACGGTTCCAAGAATACTTGAACAACGATCGTGGCCATGCTGGTTATCTGTCAGGACAAGGAGGAGGGAGAAAATACAGCCACTGGCTACCACAGAATGCTCCATGCAAGCCATCATTCAAACAGATATCTCCTTAAACCCGCGTAATGCCTACACCCTAAGCCCCAAGCCCTAAATCCAACTCCTAGACCCTAAAAACCCTAAAAGGCCCCAAAACCCTAAACCCTAAATCCCAAAGCCCCAAGCCCTAAATCCAACTCCTAAACCCTAAACCCTAAAGATCCCTTAAAGGAACCCTTAAAGGAATCCAATCCCTATAGATCCATTTAAACGTTCACAGCTAGCCACCAGGACCGGCTTAACACAGCACGCCTCGAGGGCCAAAGCCTGAATCCTTGTACCCCGAATCTTTCAACACGTTTTAGAATTTAGGGTTTAGGGTTTAGGGTTTAGAATTTACTAGCTCATGGTTGGGATAGGATTAAAAACTTAAATGTTTATTCGTAGTTGTTGGGTTTAAGTACCCATAAACATGCAAAATGTTACCCAACGATGACAAAGTTTAGGGTCTAGGTTCAGGGTTTAGTTTTTTTGGTCCAGGTGTCTAGGGCTGGAATTTGAAACCCTAAACCCTAAAACCTCCTGGTCCTTAAAACCCCCCCCCCCCCCCCGTATAGTCGTATCTCGTATCCCTACGACTACACCCGTCAACACTGCAACGTTGAAGTGGCCTCCAACAGCTTAGCGACACTCCCCTCGCCTTCCATTTCCTGGCCAAGCGGCGTGTATGGCTTGCGGTTTGAGGTTGGTTTTCTCTTCTTCGTGAGATGCAAGAAGCATGAAGGCTTATGGGGTTTTGCAGGGTCTGGACTTCAGTGTATAGTGGCATTGGGTAGCGCAGCTCCTAAGGCGCCTGGACTTGTAGTGAGATCCTAATCACGAAACCCTAAATCCTAAACCCGACACTTCTAAATCCTAAATCCGTCAACCCTAGACCCTAAACCCCTCAACCGCCATACCCCTAAACCCTAAACCCTGAATCCTGTGCCGAAATCCTCCCCCGGAAACCCCACTTAGAGGATCATGGGACTTAGTAAGTAGGTTATAATTGGGGCTATAAGTCCCCCAAGTGGGGTTATCCTAATTATAACCTACTTATAACCTTACATACTAAGTCCCATGAGCCTTTAAGTAGACCCTAAACCCTAAACCCTTAAAGGGAAGCCGACTATAGAACCCCATAACACCCTTTAAAGGAACCCTAAGCCCCTGACTTACTAAGCCTTTAAGCACGACCCTCTCAGGAGCCTCAGCACTCGTTTTGCCCCATATGGGGGTTTCCGAAAAAAGGGAGGTACCTTATTTGGGGGTCCTTCTAATAAGGATCCTACTATTTGGGGTGCTATATTAGGGTCCCCTATTTTCGGAAACTCCCATATCGGTGGATTAGTTTTAGGCTTCAGGGTTCGGGCTCAGGGCTTTGGGTTCAGAGTTCAGGGGACTTCGGACAAGGGGATTTGACAAGGCGTGGGTTTCAGTTTCGGGTTTTCAGGTTTTTCTTTTCATCATGTCCTCAAAAGGACGATCCACAAGCTCGCTTAAACTCAAGGCCTGTGCCCTAAACCGCGAAAAGGAAAACCCCAGCATCTGTCAAAAAAACATCGGATCATTCATACTAGCCGCAAGAAGAAACTGGCGATACCTAAGGACTCCAATATTCCATTGTTGCCGGTGCTTTATACCGAACATGCTTATAATTGCAGTAGGCAGCGTTCCCGTGATTCAGGATTTTGCAGTTTCTTGGTACCCCTTCTGAGCTGGAAACGCCTCTTCTTGCCTTCCCTTGCTTCCTGAACTACTGGCCAAAATTCCCTTAGATCCTGCGAGTTTTGGCCTAGGCTAGAAACTCCTAGAGCGTGGTGGCCAAGTCTGGATGTCTGGCTCAATATGGAGAAACTGTTTACTCTAATCCATAGTTGCCTTAGTTCGATCACTGCCACTAGTACCTCCAGCTACTGCACTGCTCGCAATGCGCCTGCAACATTTTCTGAACCCGATGATTCAAAGTTCCCTGAAACCTATAGTAACCTTACATATTATACCCTATCCTCATTATTACATCCCTTCATAACATCCCTTTAAGGATCCCTTTTATAGTATCCCTTCAACGAGCCCTTTATGGTATCCCAAAGGATTCCTTTATAGTATCCCTTTAAGGTTCCCTTTCTAGCATCCCTTCAAGGATCCCTTTCTAGTATCACTTGTTGGATCCCTTTCTAGTATCCCTTTTCGGATCCCTTTCTAGTATCCCTTGGAGGAGTCCCTGGAGCCCCAAGAAGCCTGATGCACCCGGTAACACCCTTGTCCTTAGAGAAATAATAGACAGAGCCCCATACCCTAGGATACCCAGTAACCTAAGAATAAAAAGGCCTCTCTTTTTGGTATTGGGTAACTCTATAGGAACCTAGGACTACAAAAAGGGAATAAGGGTACTACTGGGCATCCTAGTACCTGTATCCCATAATGACTATCCGGTCTGTTTATTCTTTTGGGGGAACCATGAGAAAGGACACGGCTGCCCGGTAATCTGTGCTCGAGGTTCCAGCCACGGTTCAGACGGAACGGCGTCATCCTTTGGCTCGGGGTTTAGGGTTTGGGGTTTATGGTTCAGGGTTGAGGATTTGGGGTTTATGGATTGGGGTATTGAGGTTTAGGGTTCAGGGTTTAAGTTTGGGACGTTTAGGAGGTTTGAGGTTAGGGTTTAGGGTTGTAGGGTTTAGGGAACCACTTGAGCCGCTGGGCTAGAGTCTTAGAGGGCGTGTGGATGTGGGGCTTTGGGATACAAGGCTTCGGGTATATAGCCTCCGAAGAGATTATCGGGCCGAAAGGTTACTGACGCACTTCACAACAACCTGGAGGACGAAATTAACCCTAAAAGGGTTTAAGGTTCATATATCATATAGGGATTCATAGTATATGGGTATAGGGCCCCTACTTGTAAGGGTCATTTGGTCCTTCACAACAAGTTCAGAGTTTGCCACATCTGCGAGTCCAGGCAGGCCCCACCCAGCCGCAGGAGTTAGCGAGTCAAGGGAGGCCTTGTCCGCAAACACAAAGTTAAGCAGACAACGCAACCCAAAAACCAAAACAGGCGTATAAAGCTAGCGTATGGCGCTTCTATGCGCTTCTGAATGACACCGTACCTAAACCCCTCACACTGGATTTAGGCCTGCTCTTAAAATCTCGCAGCAAGGAGACCCTATTCAACGATTCAGCGTGGATCCTCGAAGCGTAAGCTGCCACCACCAGACACCCCAACAAACCCGGACCGGGGTTCGGGGTACTTCAAGGAGAACCTAGAGACTCCAATATCTCTTGATTAAGGAATCTACTCTAAATCATATTAGGGATCCTACTATAATTTAAGGAATATTCCTCAATTAAGTGATATTGGAGCCTCTGGGAATGGGACTTAGTAAGTAGGTTATAAGTGGGGTTGTAAGTCCTCGAACTGGGGTTATCCTAATTATAACCTACTTATAACCTTGCTTACTAAGTCCCATGAGCCTTTAAGTACAGGGTCGTTTGGGGTTAAGGGTGGACTCTCACGTGGAAGCTCTTTGCACCCCCAGCTCCAGATCCTGCAGACCCATGTTGGAACCTAAATGCAGCAGCTGAAACATCGAACCAACCCGTTTAGGGTTAGGGCCGGTTAGGGTTTAGGGATTGAAAAATCGAACCAACCCTGTACCCTGAGCCCCGAAACCTTCCGAAGCCACCAACTCCCAGAGAGCCCGATACCCCTTAGTTAAGGAATATAGCTGAAATCATCTTATTACGCCCCGTATAATTTCGGGTATACCCCTTAACAATAAGGTATTGGGCTCTCTGGGTCCGTAGACGACGGCCAGGGCTCGTTGTAGCTGCTGCTATTCGTGCGACTCGGACCCGCGCTCATTAACTCCTGAATACTGGGTTGTTAAGGAACTGAATCTAGGTCACGATAATGGGGATCCATCCTAAATCATAGGGTTCCTTATCGTGGTAACATACATTCAGCTAAGCTCCTTACCAAGAACCCAGAATTCGCTCCGAGCTTAGGATTGACGGGCTTAGGGCCTCGGCATCTAAGGCTCTGAAAAGGGAACGTGGCTAGAGGCGGGAAGCTTCATGCAGAGAAACTCCCGGTGTCTACCTTAACCTACCAAAACCTACTTTTTTGTCCCTATAAATCCCATATTAGTGTCTATAATAAGAACCTACAGACAAGTAGGGTTTGGTAGTTTAATTAAGGTAGAGTTTAGGATGTGCGTAGTTGCCAAAATTATTGTCCCGTTTTGGGTCCTTCATATAATACGGCACCGAATATTTAGGGTACCCCAAACAGGGACCTTAATTTGACAACTACCCATGTGGGGTTGCGATTCTGGGAAATGAGAGTTTGGCTATAAGATGTAGGCTGTAGGGTTGCCCAACACAATCGCCCTAACTGGGGCTTGAAGACGCTGCAATTTACGCCTCGAATGTGGCCTATGCTCATTGTTTAGATCTGTATCTAGGGTTTAGAGACTTGAACGTTTAGTGATCGGATTATCGGGGCTTAGGAACTAAGGCTCAAGCTTTGAAAGTCTTGGCGTCGGCCCCGTTTCGCCCCCGGTCATCTCTGCCAGCAAGGAATCAAGAAGTATCCCTCGTGAGGGCCCCCAAACCCCAAACCCCGTACCCAAACCTCCAAACCCTAAACCCTCGAACCCCAAACCCTAAACCCCCAAACCCGCAACCCCCAAACTTCAAACTCCAGACCCCCAAACCCTAAACCACCCAAACCCTAAACCCTAAATGCCCAAACCCTAAACCCCTATATAAACCCCAAACCCCTAATCCCAAAACCCCAGACCCATGCTCCCCCCGCACAACCGTCCTTGGCGAAGCTGCAGGTCTCTACGCCTCAGCCCACAACAAGACATGGATGGTTTATTCAGGGCTCCTTTGAGGGAGTCCGTTCAACTTCCTTTTAAGGGTAGGTATTTTCAGGTTTACACACAGCTTTAGGGTTTGGTTTGTTTGCTTTTGGGGTCAGATGGGGCTTCCGTAGTTTAGGGTTTGCTCCAAAGCAGCAATCCCATGCTCGAACAAACTTAGTGCTCAGCCATGTCTAGCCCCAGACCCCTCGACTCCACACTTTTAATCCTAAGCCCTCAATGAGAAATCCAAACCCACCGGACATTAAAAGAACAGACGCCCAAACCACGTAGTCCAGCCTCTGCCCCAAAACCCAATGATCGACCTCTGAATCCCAAAACCCTAGAGCCTAACACGTCTAACATTCAAAGCCCTATACGGACGATTTAGTCTTGTCTTGCCCGGGGTTTGGCCTGAGAAGTTGGTGTTATCCAACACATGCTTTACAAAAAACTCTAATATAGAGGCCTTAACAATTAGAATAAGGTTCTGGGACTCAATATACCATAATTATAATAGGGAACCCCCAAAATTGTGGTAACTAGTTAGGCCCCTATATTACTAGAATTTGGGGCCTAGGGGCCCTGATCGTCAAAACTCACAGGCCTGAATCCCGAACTCGTATAGCAACAACCTCTTAAGGGTTTAGGGTTTAGGGTTTAGGGTCCAAAAAGTTTAACTGTTTCAATTCTAGTAGAATTATGTATAAGCCCCCAAGGCTACAGGTGACCTGCTCAGCCTCTGAGACCTACAAGAAGCTTCCAGAAAACGAAGCCTAAACCTGAACGCTAAAAACCGAAACGAACCCATGTTAAAACCCTAAAACTCTGAACATTAAACGAAGCCTAAACCCTGAAAGTATTCCACGAAGACATGCGAAAACCCCCATGACCTGGTGGGCCTTTGAGATTTCTACAAGAACCGTTCCAGAAAGATGCATTTAAAGGGGCTTCAAGTTCAAGGGTGACTGTATGGTTTCTTTTGAGTTTTCCGCGAAGGTGCTCTAGTCGTTTTTGATTTCAGAGTTTGGGGTTGGTTTAGGTTTAAGGCTGACGCCCTCTCTGTATCTCTTTTCAAATCTGGTACTCGGCAATCGGCCGTGTGTGCTTGGCTGCTCGGGATTGAACGCCCTGCCGAGAGCAGACTTCGGGCTTTGTGGGTTCCTGTACGGGTTCCGTTAAGGCTACATAAGGGTACTATCAGGTTTACTACAATAGGGTTCAGGGGTGAGGATTTAGGAGCCGCCAAACCCTGTATAAACACTGGAATCACTTAGGGAATAATCTTTCAGGCGGCAGACCCCGATCACGGGCCGAACCCGTCGGTTTCCTGAGGGGCATAAGCTGAGTTCAAACAAACCCTAAACTCCACAACCCTGAACCCTGAGCTCCTAAGCCTGCAAAACCCTAAACACTTTAATCCTGAACTCCGAAACCGTATACTTAGAGGATCATGGGACTTAGTAAGTAGGTTATAATTGGGGTTCTAAGTCCCCTAAGTGGGGTTATCCTAATTATAACCGACTTATAACCCTACTTACTAAGTCCCATGAGCCTTTAAGTATAATACCCGACACTCCTAAGGCTCAAAGCTCCATCTAAGCTTTGTGGCGCATCCAAGGCATCGAGACTGGAGCTTAGGAAACCCTCGTGCCCTTCAAGAAGAAGAACTTAGATTCGTCAGAACCACTTAGAGGCTCATGGGACTTTGCAAGCATGGTTATCCATAGCCTTACTTATAACCTGAATTACTGAGTCCCTTGGGCCTTTAAGTAGGTCTTGCCTGGCTTTGCCTGGAACTTTACAGGTTTGTTTTAGGGTTTTCTTGCTTTTTCGTTAGCATTGTAATCGGTTTTTAACAACATACCACCGTATCCACAGAGCATGGGGGTCCCCCTTGTTCCTACTATTCAGTTTCAACAGCGAGGCCACAGAAAAAAAAAAAAACACAAGTAAACCGGTACCCTAAACCCTAAACCCTAAACCCTAAACCCTAAACCGTGGGTGAAAGGGGACTTAGGCTTCCTGGCATGTAGGGTTTGGGGTTGTGGCTTTCTCGGCAAATTCATCATCATAATTACGTTTCTACAGTTCTCCGAGTGCTAAGCCCTAAACCCTAAAACCCAAAACCCTCAACCTAAAAGCCTAAACCCCTAACCCTAAAAACCCTAAGCCCAACCCAAAGCCCTCAAGCCTTAAACCCCTTTGCAGAACCTTTATGGATCCCTTTATAACGATCCCTTTAAGGAGCCCTTCAAGGAACCCTAGGACGAAAGCCAATGCTCTGAAGCAGTGCCTCCCAGCCAGCGCATTCAGGGTGGAGGTTTTGCCAGCCCTTCACAGATTCACAAAGCACGATACTCCCTGAATTAAGCTTCCTTTTAGGGCCCCTTATTGGGATCTACAGTAGGATATACCAAAACAGCCGAGACTCCCATCTATAAAGCTTCCTATCGGGTTGCTATAGCAGGGTGTACCCAAAAAGCCCGATTACCCTCGCTACGGAATAATTAGACCTTAAGTTATAAGGGGCTTCTTATTACGATAGCGGCTATAGTCTTTAATTCAGTGGTATTGGGCTCTCTGGTGTTTGGGCATGGGTTTGGAGTTGGAGCCTGCCGGGGGATCCGCAAGAAACGTAAACTGCCTAATTTGTCGAGTGCAGATTGACATAAACGTAGTCAATATACCATAATGATACGAGTACTTGGACCCTTTGGGGGAGCCACCATTCACATCCGCTTCCTGCCGTGTCCTCTGCTGCTCGCCTTCTGCGTGTGAAACCCAAGCATCACGATATGTAGCACTTAGAGAAGTCGCCGAAGCGCAGGTATTGAGGTTAGAAGTGAGCTACAGATACCATGAACCTTGCAGTAAAGTAGCTCGACTTTGTTTCGCATTTTGCGATATCTCGTAGATAGGACTGCAGCCGACCGGCTGGGTTTGCGATGTCGCCATGAATCCAATAGACCCAACAAGACCCCACACCCAAAGCCAAAAACCCTGAATCCTAAAGCCTACACCCAAAACCGCAGACCTGAAAGCCTGAATCTTGAGCCCAGACGCCTCCCCCAACACAATGGTTGAGGTTCAAGGGCTAAGGAGCTCGTTTGACGGTTATATAAGGGCTCTGCCCTGAAATTAGGATTCAGGCTTTGGGCTCAAGGGCTTTACTTTAGGGTGATTAGTAAGTGATTAGATTGAAGGTTTTAGGACCGCCGGCGCAGGAGTCGATTCGGCCGGGGTTTTTAGACTATCGACTTCGCCGGGGTTGTTGTTAAGGCAGCGTAATCTTAAGTTACCATGACAACGAAACCCCATCATTTACTGTAGACCTGTATCATGGTAACTCCAAAATAAGTTCCTTGACTAGAGGACCCCGGTCCGGAGCCAACAGAATCAAGCTTCGAGCTTTACTCCAAATGCTGTATACCCTAAACCCTAAACCCCTAAACCCTAAACCATTTGTCGGCTCATCGGACTAGGCAGTGTTGTAGTTGGGGCAAGAAGTGCCCCTCGTGGGCTTATCGGAAGTGTAACAGTACTTATATAATTATATATATATATATATATGCATGCTCATATATATATATATATATATATTCATATACATATACATAACCTTACTATATGGGTGGTTGTCAAAATTAGGGTCCCTTTTTGGATACCCTAAAAAATAGGTGCCTTACTATATTAAGAACCCCAAAAGGGACCATAATTTTGACAACCACCCATACAAGCTTCATGAGCCTGTAAGCAGTGGGTGTTAATTTTAGGGCCTGGGGCCTAAGAAGTAGGAGTTGCTGGGCACCGCTGCTTTACAGTGACCCAACCCTGCAAAAACACAGCGAACTTGAATCACACACCCCCCAAGCCCACAACACTGAACCCTAAATCCCAAAAGACCCTTGCACCGTATGAGTACATCGATCCAACACCTGACACAACTCTACAAATCCCACTCAGACTCTCACAACACCCAACCCTAAACCCTAAGCCCCTAGACTCCTGAACCCTGAACCCCCCCCCGCCCCCGGGGCCCCCTTCCAAATCGGCCTGGCGTGGCCCACGAAGCAAAGCTTCACCGACTGAACGGCCTGAGTGCCCTGCGAAGCTGGGTTTCTTTCTGTGCTTGGAGGGGCAGGGGACTTGGCAAGTAGGTCATACGTAAAGTTATAAGTATCCTAAATGGAATTACCGCAATTATAACCCTACTTATAAACGACTTACTAAGTCCCCTGCCCCTCCAAGTAGGATTTGGATTTCGGGTTTAGGGTTTACGATTGAGGGTTGAGGGCTTAGTAGGATTTGGGTAGTTCACTAAATCAGACTTCCTTGTAGGGTCCCTTAAAGGGGATCTATCAGGGTTTCTATCGGGTTTCTATAGTAGGATGTACCCAGAGAGCCCAATATTATGAGGGGCTTCATATTCCTTAATTTAAGGGGTACTGGGGTCTCTGGGCAGGATTTTCCGTGAATCGTAAAGGTTCTGCAGGTGTCTGTTGTACCAGGTTCAAGGTTTTTTTCAAGGATTTCGATGGTTTTCCATGGTTCCTGTGGCTTGTCTAGGCCTACAAGCATTTCACAGAGCTTAGGGCTTTAGGGCTGGGGCTTAGGTTGACGGGTCCAGGATCTAAGGCTTCGCGTTCCGTTCTTCGGCTTTGCATCTTCACGCTCTTCGGCTGGGCCTTCGCGGCTGTCATAAAGAAGCCCTAGTAATTATCAATGGGGGAAAGGAGGGACCCTTAATGGGGACCCTTACCCTATAATGGGCTATATAATGGGTATATAATAGCTATGCTAAGGGTATATACCTAGGGGTCCTTATTAAGGGTCCCTCCTTTCGCCCTAGTAATTAGACAAGGGTCTTCGGGCTTCCTATATTTTCCTGGACCTTCAGTACTAGTATGAATTGTTCAAGCACGACGGCTGAGGGTGTCACTAAAGCAACACTCAGGCTCTCGTGCCAAGTCCAAGGCGCGGTCGGTCGCTGCCTGAGAGCAGCTAGGGTCGTCGGAGTGTGTAGCTGATCAAATAGATCACGGATGTGTGGATGATGGCGTCGTCTGGGTAAAGCATCACTGGCTCGCTTGCAAGAGCGTTGCCCGGGCACATCGCAGTCATGATTCGTCTGCAATGATGCTGGACCAGCTCTGCAAACAAAGGCACTTGACTCCGCGATACTATGTAACCGTCCAGGGGCATCCTCCTCTGAACCGCCCAAGATACAAGACCAGGGGTTTCTTACAACGTGTGTCTATATGACGCTACAACCCTGTGTGGCCCTAACCCCTCGACCACTCGAAAGTCAGAGGGGGAAGTGTGGGTGGATCTCTCAACAAGTCCCGGTTTGGGGTCCCAACATAGCCGGTGGCTCTATTGATATAAACTTTAAAGAAATAGTCGAATAGTTCAGAATTTACGACTGCGCATCGAAACTCCTATAATAGTGGCCCGAAACAGGAAATAGTGAGAGCAACACCTAAGTCGAATTCTATTTCACTCAGTAATTGAACCCCAGACACCTTTAAATTGCTAGCCGCCGCTTGAAACTTGAAACCGAGCAATAGTTCACAGGTTCTTTACTGTTTACGACGCCCTCTTCAACGGTCTACCTGAAGGCTCATGGGACTTCGTAAGTAAGGTTATAACTAGGAAAATCCCACTTATAGGGGACTTATAACCCCAATTATCACCTACTTACTAAGTACCCTGATCCTTGATATACCCTGCACGCCCTAGGGCTTTCAGGGCTTATCCTCAACCCTTAGGCCCTAAATCCTAAACCCCCAAACCCACCCCCTAAACCCAAACCTCTAGCCCCTAAACCCTAGAGCGAACAATCGTTACGTTAAGGACCAAATGTCCCTTAAAAGTAGGGGCCCTATACCCTGATACTACGAACCCCTATATGGTAAATATGAACCCTAAACCCTAAACCCTAAAACCTAAACCCTAAACCCTACTTTTTTGTAGGTTCTTATTATAAGCCCTAATATGGAATTTATAGGTTGGTTAAGGTAAACCCTAAACCCTAAAGACCATGGCCTCTTCCAGCGCAGCCTGGAAGGCATTCACGGCCTCAGGGCCTCAGACTCAGGCTTTGCACTGCGCAGTTCTCTAGATTAAGGTCTCGTTAACGATCCCTCTATATATATATATATATATATATATATATATATATAGGGGGGGCCTTAATAATTACAATGGGATTTTGGAGCCCATTATACTATAGCTTTCGTAAGTAACCCTAGGGTTTTGGAGTATATTATGCTATACTATAATTCGTTCTTGAAATTTAGGTCTTTTAAGGGTCCCTTGAAGGGACCGAATTGGGCTCCCCAAGCCGCTAAGCCCCAAACCCAAAACCTGAACCCAATGCTCCTTACTTAAGAGATCTTGTGATTCTGGGTAAATCCTACACCGCTACGCCCTTATAGTACCCCTATACTACACTGAACTTAGAACCCTAGCAAAAAATAAAATTTTAGGTGTTTCTTAGGGATTATAATAACCAAAAATTAAAAACTATTTCTAAGTACCCCTAAGTATAGAAACTTCGATCGGTCGGGTTGGATCTGGTCCTTTTGGCTTTTCGTAGATGTTTGGTAAGGGTTTGTGGGCGTTGGATTTGTAGGGGTTGAAACCGCGTAGGATCCGGGGTTTGGATGGAAGCTCGGATAGCCCTAAACCCTAAACCCTAAACCATTACCAGCCGATCACCTAACAGGGGCCTGAGGGCTTGGGGCTCGCGACTCACACTTTTGATGATCTTGGAATATTTTGGAGCTAGTTGCTACGCCATGTCAGGTTTTTGGGCGATTTCGAGCCGCAGGGAACATCTCTGGCTGCCAAGACTCACATCAGCTCAGGCTGACATCTTGACTGTGGAATTTGAGAATGTGAGAAGACCCAAGCTGAAGGGTTTAGGGTTTAGGGGTTTAGGGTCACCCAACCTCTCAACCCTCAATCCTAAAGTCTAAAGTCTAAAACTCAAGAGCTGGACCCTAGGCACATCCGGCTGATTGGTGCAGGGTCTACCGGAGCCCTAAAACACCTGCATTTTGGAGCGTTCCGTGTTGCAGTTTCCGTATATTATATGGTGGCTTCCGAATAGGAAACCCAAATGTAGTGCCCCAACTTCTAGGATACTTGTTATAAGGGCCCCAAAGTAAGGTACCCCAAATTTTCGGAAACTCCCATATATATATATATATATACATACATATATATTCATATACATATGTATGTATGTATGTATGTATGTATGCATGTATGTATGTATGTATGTATGTATGTATATATATATATATATATATATATGTACATATGTACATATATATGTATATATATATACACATATATTCATATATGTATGTAGAGCAGCCAGCAGAGAAAGAAAAGGCCCGGCCAGCATCATCCTAAGCAAAAACAGCTAATATATGGAGGTCTTAATGATCAGGATAGGGTTTGGGGAGCCCATTATACTATAACTTTCATAACGAACCCTAGGGTTTTGGGGTATATTATGCTCTACTACAATAAGGAATCCCCAAAACAATACCGGTTATTATTTAGGCCCCTATAGTAGCAGCCCGGCATGTCACCTTGACTGCGAAGGGCTTCGAGGAGAGCCGCCTTTGCACGGTTTGGGCCTATAGAGACTCCAATATCCCTTAATTAAGGAATATTCCTTAACTCATATTAGGGGTCCTACCATAATTTAAGGAACAATCCTTAAATCATATGAGGGATCCTACCATAATTTAAGGAATATTCCTTAATTAAGGGGTATTGGAGTCTCTGGGGGCTCTTCCTCGGGAGCTTCGAAGTTTCTCATAAGGACTTTGCAGGGCCTACTTGTCGGGTAATTATCAGAGGGAACTAGAGGTTAACCTTTCTGGTGTATATCCCAAAAGGTTAGAGGTTACCTACTCGACTACTAGGAGGGTTTATAGGGTTTGGGGAGGGGGGGTAGGGGGCCGTAGTATAGTCCCCTACCCCCCTAAGGGTCCTTATGACTTGGGGTTCAGCGTTGTGGGAAGCTGTGAGCTAGTACAGAGGAAAGGGGCCTGAATAACGAGGCTAACTAGACCCTGTTTGTTTGGGCGGCTTCGTACTATAAACACAATAAGGAGCGCCAGGGAACAATATCACTACATGTCATTACTATTTGCTTCGACCCCTAGATTTGAGTTTAAGATGTTTAGCTCAGGTTCGTGGCGGTTGCGGTCACGGTTTCGGCATCCTACGCCCTGCGACATGTAGCCTGTGACCTTCTTTGAGCAACCCTATGCCAACCAGGTGTTTGGGGCTTTGTGTTCCGAATCTCCCAGATACCCGCAAATCCCTAACCCCCTAAAAAATCTAGACCCCTAAGCCGAGCTCGGTGAGAAGCCTCCATGGTCTTGACAATAGGAATCAGGGTGGAGAGTTTAGAGTAAGTATGGGGCTGAGGGTTTGGCGTTGCGGTCGAGTTTGGGGCTTGCAGTGCCAGGGTGATGCAATATAACCCCTCGGACATGAAAACATAATCAACAATCTTAAGAAAGTGTATGCAGGCCTTCAGAAAAAGGACAACGTAAACACACATATGTATGTATGTATGTATGTATGTATGTATGTATGTATGTATGTATGTATGTATATATATAGATATATAGATGGGTTGATAAGGGGCCCCTGTGGAGGGGGCCCCTGTGGGTTGCACTTGCCGAATGGGCGCGTTGCGGCTGCACGGGGCCCAAGTGCTTTCCCGACGACCAGAATTCGTGATGAGAAACACGACTGTCGGTTGGCATGGTGCACCTGCCACGGAATGTGGCTGCAGAGAAATGCTGAGTGGAGAAAGCAGGCCTCGAGCGGAAGATTTCCTTCTCAGGATCCCATTCCCCAGAGACTCCAATATCCCTTCATTAAGGAATATACCTTAAATTTTCGTAGGATCCCTAATATGATTTAAGGAATATTCCTTAATTCAGGGATATTGGAGTCTCTGGGTCTACAGGTCCCATGGCAAAGGCGCAACTACCCACGGCCTCGGACATGGAAGGGATCCCAATCAAAGCTTGTCCAACGTCGTGCGCAAACCTGTTCTTATCCACTCCGGCTCGCAGGTGAGGCACGCTAGTGCCAGCAAGAGGCTGCGCCGGAAGAGCCGACCCAGTAGGCGGTGGAGTCAGCCGTTTCTTGGGCTGCCGTACTGCAGAGAGTACTACGAAATCCTGCTCGCTGCCGCAGGCTTGAGTGAGCTGCATGCAGTATCCCCTGAAATTGCGGGTAGTCTGGAATGGTGACCCTTGAGGTCAGGGAACTAGGAGTCTGAAATGGGTCTAGAAGCATTTCAGATCTTTTCCGGCTTACCATGTCAGACCCCCAACCTACAGCCTTGGAGGTCGGTGCCAAATCTCAGCCCCTGCCAGTCGAAGGAACGCAGAACGACACCCTGGGCATGCGCCCTGGTTCCAAGGGAAATCGCACTGAACTACCTTAAGGACGAAATGAACCCTAAAAGGGGTTTAAGGTTCATATACCATATAGGGATTCATAGTATATGGGTATAGGGCCCATACTTTTAAGGGTCATTTGGTCCTTCAGGTACATGCTGGAGGCCTTCAAAACCAGGGATTCTGAGAGCCTGCACTTTCGACCCCACACCTTCTCGGTTGCAGCTGCACAGGCAGACCACTTGACTTTAATCAAAGCAGCTGCATCAGCCCAGGATTCCTCTACATGGGTTTTTCAGGGGTTATATAGGGGTTATATAAGCATTCTACAGGGGTTAATTTAGAGCAAACTTGAGGGACTAAAAAGGACAGCCCCTTAGGCCTGAAATGGTCGCGGGACTAGAATGCCATCCCAGTCCCCGGCAAGCCGAGGGTATCCCTGAACCCTAAACCCCCAAATCCTTGAAATCATATAAGCCCTCAACCCTAAACCCCAAACCCCTAAACCAAACCCTAAACCCCTAAACCCTCAAAATCATATAAGCCCTCAACCCTAAACCCTAAAACATTAAACCAACCCTGTACCCTTTAAAAGGCAGCCCTAGAGTCCCCCAACAAAAACGCCTCCATGCCCTCGCCGGCCAGACCTAAACCCTGAACCCTAAACCCTGAACCCTAAAACTCTAAGTCCTATAGACCCTCAACCCTAAATCCCTAAACCCTTAAACGGGAGCCCTAAAAAGTCACACAGAAACCCCCTAAACCCTTAAAAAGGAACCCTTAAGTCACCCCACAAAAAAACGCCTCCATGCCCTCAACCCTAAAACCCTAAACCCGTAAGTCACCCCACAAAAAACGCCTCCATGCCATCGCCGGCAAGTGGGCCCGACTCACTGGAGGAGCTCCGCTCGGAAGCCTCGGTCCCAGGCTCCGGTTGTTGTCAAAATTAGGGTACTGTAAGGGCTCCTTTAAAGGGATACCATAAGGGTACTATAAGGGTTCCTTAAGGGTGACTATAGGGGTTTTGTAAAGCTTCCGAAAATGAGGGGTACCTTATTGTGGGATCCTTTAAAGGGTTACTATAAGGGTTCCTTCAAAGGGCTCTAAGAGGGTTTAGGGTTTCCGAAGATTAGGGGTGCCGTATTTTGGGGTCCTTCTTGTGAGATCCTACTATGTAGGGTACTATGTTAGAACCCACTATTTTCGAAAAATACGGTCCCTTTTTGAGTCCCTAGTATAGCACGGCACTTATTATTTAGGGTACCCAAAAAAAGGACCCCAATTTTGACAACCACCAATTTAGTTAGGGTTTGGAAGGTCGGTTTAGGGTTCAGGGCTGTAGGATTTAGAGCTTCGGGTTTGAAAGGTCGGTCTAGGGTTTTAGGGTTTAGTGTTTGAAAGGTCGGTTTAGGGTTCAGGGTTTGAGGGTTCAGGGTTTTAGGGTTTAGGGTTTGAAAGGTCGGTTTAGGGTTCAGGGTTTTGTGGTTTATGCATGCATCCATCGCGGACTGTCCCGAAGCAACCGCTTGAGGGGTTTGGGGTTTTAGGGTTTAGAGTTTTGAAGGCTTGGGGCTTAGGGTTTTAGGGCTCTGAAGGTTCAGAGCAGTTTCGGGTCAGGGTTTGAAGGGTTTAGGGCTTGCGGATTTTGAGGTTTAGTGTTTAAGTGTTTCTGAGGTTTCTGGGTTTGGGGCTCTTGAGGTGTTATTTAGGCACCGGTTTTAAGGGCTTTTTACAAGTCAGGGTTCAGGGTGGGCCCAAAGTCGCAGTGCTGCACCAAGAAAGCAGAGCGGAACAACGGACAACAAGAGTCAGTGATCCAAGGCAGCAGCAGGCTCAACTGATGGTGCATGTTGAGCAGCGACCTGAAGCCCACACGACCTTCATGTATCTCCCGCTGTAGAGGACGTTCCGAAGGTCGGCCACCAAGCCAGACTCTCCGAATGCCACCGTCTCACTCTCCTCGTCCTCGTTGCTACTGTGCCTTCCTGCACGTACTGCAAGGAACACTGACTGCTTCACGTACTTCTCCTTCTGAGCCTTTGGGAGGGCATGCCAGGCCGCGCCGACTTTTGCGAGGGTCTCCTGCTGCTTGGCGCTGCCTCTCAGGTCTGCGTGCTTCTTGGCAAAGACCTTGTAATGCATTTCTCCTAACATAGGGGCCTTAACAAATAGGACTGGGTTTTGGGCCCATTATACTATAAACGTAAGCAGGATGCCGCTCAATAGTATAGATAATTATTTTCGGCCGCTACATTAACAAAAGGGTTCATATTTGGTGTTTCGGCCTTGTGAACGTGAAGTAGATTTCTCTTTCTGTACCTTAAACCTGAAAGGTCTACACACCCTCGATGACTCAACCTACATTACATCTATCTTTGGTTCTAGTTTGTGACGTTTTACCTTGCAGCCCCAACAGCTACCCGGGCGAGGGCCAAGCTAATTGCCATCCCTTTGCCTTGAAAGACCATGGGATCCACAAAAGTCGGGGCCCTAAACCGTTCACCTATCCCTAGCTGTAAGCTCATGCCCTGCCCCTTGTTTTGAGTACCTAGTTCTTTAGTTCAGGTCTGGTATTTAGAAAAGTAAGTAACCTTAAAAAATGGGTGGGGCATGAGCCTACAGGTGCAACAATAATTGAAGCTTCGCCCTTAGCTTGTAGTGCCTTCAACCCTAACATAGAACCCATCAACATGAAGCCCTTACAGATACCCTTAAAGGAACCCTTTCTACTATTTGCTTAAGAACCCCCAAAAAATAAAAAATATATTCCTTATAGGGATAATATAGGGATTATTATTTTTTATTTTTTGGTGGTTCTTAAGCAAATAGTAGCTTTTGGTGTACCTGAAGGAATGACTCTTACTCCCAAGCAGCTGTAGCAGATGTCGCAGGCTTTGCCTCAGCTGCATTTAGACACTGCTCGGGATAATCTAAGGTTGGGGCTTTGGGTTCAGGGTTGATTACGGTTGTGACAGGAGGAGCCCATCAAGAACTTTAGGCCCATATTCGCGCACCTCACATTCAAAGCATGCGCACCATCTCCCCACGCGCCACCGTGTGGCTGACCGACAAAGCCATGCAGTATCCAAATTGAGGAATATTGTACTAGTTCCAGGTACCTAGGCTAATGATACATATGTCATCAAGCCCTAAACCCTAAACTGGACTCTATGCAAATGTAAACTACCATAATCAGGAACCCCTAGTCTTCACGAAAGATACCCATTACGGTAACTTAAACGAAGTTCCGCAACAAGGATCCAGCATCCAGTAACTCAGGAATGAGACATACGAGACATAATGAGACTATATAAGGCAAATCCTGCACAGCTGGAAACGAAATCTCTGAGAGGAGTTTTAGAATTGACACGGGGTTTGGCTGCAACGAAGCCAGACACTAAAACCACAAGCCCGAACTTTAAACTGCGGTGCAAGGCTCCGGACCCTAAATTCCAAACCCTAAACCCCTAAACCCTTGGTCTCAAGGCTTAGGGATGCTGAGGGTTTGCCAGGGTTCAAGCTGTAGGGTTCAGGATTTACCTGGGCCGTAGCAAACCTACAATCTTACACTACTTTTTAAAGGAAAATAATCAGAATAAGCAATGCTATCAAGTTGATTTTCAAGGGTTCAGGAACATTTTAAGATCTACCTATGGTCTCCAATGTGGCAATGCAGTTCCTTTGCTCATTCTATGGGCTGGAGCCAGGGAACTGGAGGCTTTTACAATCAGAACAGGATTCGAGCATGTGTATGGATATGTTATAATGTTATCATACGAGGACTACAGTGCGGGACTAGGACGACTTATTCAAACACCCCGCCCGATCTTGATACCCGACCAAACACATGAAGGAACGACGGTGAAAAGTAGTGGTCGAGCTTGCCTCCAAGTACATTGAAACCCTGCAACTCAAACCCGAAGCCTCACACAACCTAAACCGTAGTGTTGGGATTTGGGGTTTAGGGTACCCTAAGCCCGAAACCCTCAACACAAAAACATCTAAAACCGACACCCGAAACATGAAACCCTGCATCTAACACCCCCTAAACCCCAAACCCTAAAACCACCGGTGCAAGGCATCCAAGTCCAAGATGCTGCGGCCGGGAGCTCGGTGGCGGTAAAGTTAGCCGTCCTCAGCTAACGTTAGGAGACCCGACGGGCTACTTGGACCCGTAAAGAACCTACTTTGTTGGGGCCCCGTCTCATGATATCCCTATACAGGTCCAGAAAAAGTAAGTTATCCAGGCGGGGTTTAGGGTTCAGGTTTTAGGTATAGGGCTTTATGAGGGTTTACGTGGTACTTTTATTACTAGGGTTGTTTTAAGGTTGTAGGACTGTGCAAGGCTTTACGGGGTCCTGCCCTGGCATGCCCTGATCTTCGAAGTACGTAAAAAGCTCATGGGACTTACGTAAGGTTACAAGTCGGTTATAATTAGGATAACCCTACTCAGGCGACTTATAACCCCAACTATAACCTTCTTACTAAGTCCCACGATCCTTTAAGTACCCTAAACTCCCCGTTATAGAACCCTTATAGGATCCCTTAAAGGAGCCCTTTAAGGAACCCTACACTAAGTCCCATGATCCTCTAAATGGAACCCTTGTAGATCCCTTTTAAGGACCCTAAGCCCTAAACCCTCAACCCTAGGAGGCATTTCAGGGCCTGGGCTGCTTTATAGGTTCTCGGAAGCCTTCGCCCTTGGATCCCGCGTAAAACTCCCAAAAAAGCCTGAACAAGGGCTTGGGGTTTAGGGTTTAGGGTTTAGGGTTTAGGGTTTAGGGGGTTTAGGGTTTAGGGGTTTAGGGTTTAGGGCTAAGGGGGTTTAGGGTTTAGGGGTTTAGGGCTTAGGGGGTTTAGGGGTTTAGGGTTTAGGGCTTGGGGTTCAGGGCCTAAATCACAAGAAACCAAAATCCATAAAGCCTGAACCCCATTTCTGAAACCCCAAACTGAAACACTACACCCGAAACCAAAAGTCTCCATAGAACCCAAAGCCACAAATCCCAAACACTCAAGATCCACGAACCAAAAGCAACTCTGACGCGAAACGCTGCCTCAGCCGACCAGTACTGTATCTACTTGTCGTAGGGTCCCTATAAGTTCTATGCCAAGGCTAAAGCTAAGATTTATGTTAAGGCCCTACAAAGAAGCAGGTTCTCGCAGAGTAATTAAGGCAGACCCTGACCCTGGGCCTTCAACCTTACTATGAACCCACTAAACCCTGAACCTCTAAACCCTAAACCCTCAGCCGCCAAGTCCAAAGTCCAGAGTCCGCCCAAATCCGAAACCCAAACAAACAGCCTGAATAGTCGGATGAGGGTTTTGGGGGGCAGAGTATGCCCCCTAACCCCTAAAGCCTACACCCCTCAAAGCCAAGCTGCACCTGGCTAAACAACTGCAGCTGATTGCCTTCAGCTGGGAATTCAAGGCTCCTAATACAGGGCCCTTAAGTCATTAGCATAAGGTTGCTTTACGGAGTCTATAAGGGGTTTATGATTATGGCGTTTTGGTTCAGGCGCCTGCGCAGCGGGTGGGCGAGGGGGGCAGCTTAAAACTTTAGTCTCTCATCCTCGGGTTACTAAAACGGGTCTATAATAGCGGTGTGTTACAATATTATAGGGACTTGAATCATTGAAGTAGAGTTGCTTTAAAGGCGGATTCATAAGCTTGTAGTTCAGGGCCCTTCATGATTGTTCGACACCCCTATGATATAGGCATGCCGCCCCATAGGTCCAGCCCAGTACCCCAAAACCCCAAATCCTGAACTCCCTAGCCCCAAACACTACTTACAGGCTCATGGGACTTAGTAAGTAGGGTTAAAAGTAGGTTATAATGGGGATAACCCCACTTAGGGGACTTAAAACCCCAATTGTAACCTACTTACTAAGTCCCATGATCCTCCAAGTACCCTAAACTCCTCTTTATAGAACCCTTACCGATCCCTAAAGCCTAAACCCTAAAGGATCCCTTAAAGGAACCCTTCAACGGAACAGTCCCCTAATCAAAGGCTGGTGAACTCCTGTGGCTTCGAAACCCAAAAAGCCGATGCAAGAACCTGAACCCTAAACCCTAAACCCTAAACCAAATTAGGGAATGTACCTTAAATTATAAGAACCTGAACCCAGAACCCTCAGCTCCACGCCTGAAGTCTGAACCCCTAGGCATCGAACTCTAAAACCCCTGTTCACCAGCCTTTGTTTAGGGGACTATTCCGTTAAAGGGCTCCTTTAAGGGATCCTTTAGGGTTTAATTAGGGTTTAGGGTTTAGGGATCTGTGAAGGGTTCTATAAAAAGGAGTTTAGGGCACTTAAAGGATCATGGGACTTAGTAAGTAGGTTATAACTGGGGTTATAAGTCCCCTAAGTGGGGTTATCCTAATTGTAGCCCACTTATAACCTGACTTACTAAGTCCTGAGCCTTCAAGTACCTGGACCCTAAGCCTAAGGAACCTACCTTTTTAGGGCTCTTTATTATGATTTCTTTATATAAGTCCTTAAAGATGTAGCTTCTTCGGGGTTGAGACAAGCCCTGAACTCTAAAAACCCTAAGCCCTAATATCGGGGCCTTTTTAGTTAGAATGGGGTTTTGGGGTGTATGATACTACAATACAAATAAGGAACCTCCAAAATAGTATTGGTAATTATTTGGGCCCCTATGATGCGCCCCATGCCCGAAACCCGTGTACTGTAGGAACCTGGTTAAGAAACCCTGGCCCTATAACCCCAAAACAGTAGGATTCATGAAAGGAACCCTAAGAAAAGCCGCAGGTTTCTTGATCAGGTTCCTCCATTATTATAGTACCCTTATAGATCCCTTGTAGTAACCCTTATATAAAAGGTTTAAGGAGCCCTAGTTTAGGCCCCTAAGCCCTATGCCCCATGTCCGAAACCCGTGTATCCGTCCCTAAACCCCATACCCTAAACCCTGAACCCCTAAACCCTAAACCCCTAAACCCTAAACCCCTAAACCCTAAACCCCTAAACTTTAGCCCTAAACCCTAAACCCCTAAACCCTAAACCCCCAAAAACCCTATACCGATGCAAAAGCTGAGTGGAAGGCTCGGAGTCCGCTGTTGGAGCTGCTGCTGCAACTCACCCTGCCGGTGCTTAAGGAACCCAGAGACTCCAATATCCCTGAATTAAGGAATATACCTCAGGGCTCGTCATAGGGGATCTATAAGGGTTCTGTCAGGGGACTTCGGATGCCGAATATGAGTTAAGGAAAATTCCTTTGTTTAGGGATATTGGAGTTTCTGGAATGAGGAAGGAATATAAGGACTACTGTAACAGATTTTAGAAGCTCTATTCTACTTGAACAGATTCATCATGTAGGCTGTATTGCAGGAACTCTCCCACTCCTCCTCAAGCAGTAAGCTCACGGGTGCAGAGCTACGGATTCTGAGGACTGCCTTTTCATTCGTTACAGGTTGGCTTGAAGTAGGGCTTGCGCTTTAGGCCATAAGGCTTTAGGGTTTACGTGGATGCAGGTTGAGGGCCAGTTTAGGGCGTAGCAGCTACCCATAGGCCCCAAGGTAGTTCCTTTTTGGGCTTACCTTATAGGATTCCATATATGAACTTCATATATAGAATCCTATAAGGTTTATATGATCCCCAAAAAGGAACTACTTTGGGGCCTCAGGGTAGAATCGGGGTAGTGACTGCAGATGGCTGCGTGCCACGGACCGCGAGTTTCTGCGTGGATAGGAGTGATCTTTATACCCTAAACCCTTGCTTCGCGTTTTTGTTCAAAAACCCCTAAACCCTAAACCCTGCAAACCCTAAACCCTGACCTTCGTTTTCGTTGAAGAAAGTTTTCAAGCTTAATGTATAGACTATATAGAATCCTCTAGCCATCCCTTTTTCAACCCTAGACCCCTAAAACCCTGCCTCTCTTGATGTGATTTTCATTTTTGATCCCAGGAGTAGCGCCAATTTGGTAGAGTGCTTTTCTGAAGCTTCTTTCGTTGAGCAGCGCTGCTCTGTTCAAAACAATGCTCCTTGAATGAATGACGTTAGATCCCGAAGCCGACAACGACCAAAATGCTCTGTCCTGCGGCATGATCGTGATCGACGGCTGTACTTCCGTCCTCAGCTTGCAAAAGGGTTTTTCTTGGGCAAAGAGCTCCTTCTCAAGTTACTTTAGTCACCCTAAACCCTAAGACTGCAGACCCTGAATCCCCGAAGCCCTAAACACTATCCATCCTAAAACGGTACTTTTCATCGCTGATAGGAGGCGGAAAAACATTCTGTTTATGGGTGGAACAGGTTGGGTTGCCCACACTGCAATGCCTCACGACCAGATGCGCCAGGGTGCTGCAAGGGCTTCTTCTTCTTCCGCTTCTGGGACTGCTGTGGGACCTTCAGACACAACTGAACCCTGCGGCTTGCAGCGTTACGTAGGATTTTGAAGTACGACTACAGGGTCCAAGGTTCAGGGTTTACAACCATGTAGCTGAAAGTAGGGCTCCCAAGCACCAAAGCAGAGCACCACACATGTACCCTAAACTACAATACACTACTTCTTTGTAATTTTCTGAGTCTAAACCCCGATGTATATATATATATATATATATATATATAGATATAGATATATATGTATATACATATATATATATATATATATGTTTCAACTATTTATTTACATGTTTGCAAAAGATAGTTATATTTGTATATGTAGAGAGAGACCGAGAGAGTGGGTTTATAGGAAGCTACAGAAAAGGTAGGATTCCTGTACGAAAATTTAAAAAAGGATTAAAGTATGGTACTCCAAAGCCCAGTAGGCTTTGCTCGGTTGAAACTGCCGAGCGAGAACGTGTGACGTCGCCATATTTTGCGCTAGCATTCCATAGGGTTTAGGGTCTATGGTTTAGTGCTTAGGGTTTAGGATCTATAGGGCTTTAAAAGGTTTAGGGACCAGGGTGTAGGGTTTAGGTCTATAGAAGTTGGAGTCGAACGATGACTGGGCCGGGATATTATTGAAGCCTGCATAACTACTTATACTATTCCTTATTAGCCTCCATCGAACTGCTGAGTCCCCAAAAAATATGTCCGTAAGACATTGTATGGCACACGAAGGGTGTTTTGCCAGGCTCCTCCCGCAAATAATGCTTGTCCCGGACCCCCGAAAGGATCTAGAAAGTAGATCCCCGAATTTGGGGCCCTATACTACTAAGGGTACTCTATAGGAACCCCCATTGCGGGATCTACTTTTTGGATCCTCCCGAAAGTCTGGGGTTGAAGTTTCAGCCACCTGTAAACTAAGCCGGGTTTGAATGCCGCAATGACATATGGGAGTTTCCGAAAAAATTAGGGGTGCCTTATTTTGGGGTCCTTATTATAAGGATCCTACCATTTAGGGTTCTATATTAGGGTCCCCTGTTTTCGGAAACTCCCATATCAAACCTTCGGGCATCTAACAGCAGGTACTCTTCACAACATGAGGATGTTTGACATCAAAGCAGGGAATGCTTTGCTTCAACCTACTTTGGAGCCGTTTGGGGTTCTCCAGTATACCCTCATAAGGGTTTACTTACCAGTTTTCCAGCTTTAAATCCACAGTGAAACCCTACAGTCAACACGCTAATATCAACATAAAGTAAATAATTGTGCTGTACCCATTTAATTTCCTTATGTTTCGTTTTATTCTGCTTTAACAGGGAAACCCCACAATCATCGATGCAGAACAGTGCTTCTGGGGGCCTGGGGGCCTAGATTGGAACCCCGACAAACCAAAATACAAACATGTGAAGTCCCTAGGACCCAACAATAAAAGCCTCAATAATTACCAGTACTAGTCCTTAGGGGTTCTTGTTATATGATGGCAAAACTTACCCCCCCCCAAAACCCTTTGATACTTATTAATACTCCTAGGTTGCCAAAGCTCTCAGAAGACAGCGCTCGCCCAAGCATTCCGATGCCTCCACCGGCAAGACATCCTCTGATGAAGCCTCCTCGTCCACCAGCTCCTACATGTGCTTAGAGGATCATGGGACTTAGTAAGTGTAGGGTTCCTTTAAAGGGCTCCTTAAAGGGATCCTTTAGGGGATTAGGGTTTAGGGATCGATTAAGGGTTCTACAAAGGGGGAGTTTAGGGTGCTTAGAGGATCGTGGGACTTAGTAAGTAGGTTATAACTGGGGTTATAAGTCCCCTAAGTGGGGTTATCCTAATTATAACCTACTTACTAAGTCCCATGAGCCTTTACGTGGAGAACCCCAAACCCCAACTCACGACTTATAGGGCCTACGGTTTTTGAGAAAGTGGGTTTTATGAGTTGCAGGGATTGTGAGCTGTTGCATAGAGTTATGCAGGGTTCACTTGGCTTGAGGATTCGATCTTTGTGCCTTTTGAAGGGGTTTCGGGTTTGGGTTTAGGAGTTTAGGGGCTCCGAAGCCCCACTAATATATACTGTAAACAGAGGGCGTGCTTAATCCCCGACACGTTTCAACCACCCAAGTCCCCGACAAGGAACGCACCCCCCTCCTCACAACAAAAAACCACGATAACGAGTGATACTCAGCAGGAGGCCCGAATGACTCAGAACCTCCGAAACACTCCCAAAGCCTTTCAAACCCTCCGAAATCGACCTCGTTTTTGGCATGTTCGTTGCGAAACCAAGGTCGTTTGCTCCTTTTTGACACCGGCCCGCACGATCTCTCCCAAGCCCTGACCACGGTGATTCATCATGGAGCTGAGATGGGGTATCTGGGAAATGCGCATCAACCCGCGGATCAGTGTTATTGATATTGCTTCGCAAGCAAACAGTTGCTGGTTCAACTCCTCGCGCCCGGTGGTCATCCTTGACTTTCCCAGGACCGTCACACCACTGAACGAACTTGTGCACCCAGCCCTGCCAAGGAATACTTCTGTTTCGCATCCCTCATGCAGCGGCCGCTGAGTTGGAAGAATGTCCTGCATGACTCGTGCTTGTAGCACCGTGCTACAGTTCTGGGCGGTGCTGCTCTATCGCAGAATCTAAACTTGTCCCGTCCGATTCTGCCAATTTTGAAGCGATCTGGGAGATGCTGCACCATGCTGTCCGGAACCCTTCGCAGCCCAGCTGAAATCCTCGACATGCGTGCATATGGCGGCGCAAAGCTTGCCAGCTTGCCATCGCCATCGGTAAGAAAGTAGAGGGCAGAGAGGATCACCAAGTTTTTCGCTGCTCTGCTCACACCAGACGCGAGCGGCTGCTCGCAACAGGGATCCCGTCCGGCTGTGGCAGCCGACACGTCTAATTTAGGGTTTAGGTTAGAAGCTGCCCCCACCCTGTAATAGTGGTATAATAGGAATATAATAGGGCAGTAATAGAATCCTTATAGTCACTATTACAGGGTGGGGGCAGCTTCTAAGGCTTAGGGTTTAGGCTGACCCCAATGTTCCAACATACCCTAAACCCTAAACCCGTTGTTGGGGCTCAGATCGATCGCTGCCTACTTTGGGCCATGCGGGGGTGCAAACCCCATAACCTTGGACTCCCCCAGCCCACTTTAGGGTTTAGGGTTTAGGGCCACCTTAAAGAACGTATAGACTTTACAGAACTAATGGACGGTCCCTAAACAACAACCCCTGGTAGAACACCCCTTGTAGCAGCCCTTGAAGAACCAAAGATCTAGGACTCCTTAAGCCCAACACCTCTAAATCCTAAATCCCTAAACCCTTAAGCTGCTTATCCCTGAACCCTCAACCCTAAACCCTCTAGAGGATCCTATATAGATCCCTTAAAACAGCTCGGACAGATCCCTCAAAGCAGCCATTCTAGATCCCTTACCCAAACATTCCTAGGTACTGTTCTGGGGAATACTTGCCCAAGTCAGACTTGTCATTAAATCCTTATATAGAAACCCACATTCTCCTGTACGGGAGTTTCCGAAAATTGGGGACCCCAATATAGTACCCTAAATAGTAGGATCCCTATTCTATGGACCCCAAAATGAGGCACCCCTAATTTTCGGAAATGCCCATATAGGTACTTTGGACCCTTTGGGTTAAGAGCCTGCTCCTCGTTCAGGAACATCTCTGCAGCCAACTCCTCCTTTGCGCTGGACCTGGGATTCAGAAAAGAAACCCATAGCCTCCGAAACTTCCTTTTTGGGCTTAGGGTTCAGCCATGTGCAGCCTATGGTTATCCTCATGCCTTTGAGGTAAATTACAGGGAATCCTAGCACTAATCATCCTTCCAACTTTCGGAGATCCACTATATACTGGGCTTTTGAGTCACCAGGGAGAAAAAAGTATAAACTTTTGTTTCATAATGGTTCCGAAAAGAAAAAAGTAAGAACGTATGGTGCTCCAAAGCCCCCAGTATAGGGATTGTACCTTATTTTGGGGTCCTTATAATAAGGATCCTGTTATTTAGGGTACTATATGTGGGTCCCCTGTTTTCGGAAACCCCCATATAGGGATTGAGGCTTCAGGCTTTAGGGCGTAGTTTTCTTGCGAAGCCCTCCTGTTTCGTATACCCCCCTTAGAACCATAATAAACATAATAGTCTTAATATTTTCTTGGGTTTTATATGAACAAAAATGAAAAAAAGTCCTAAGGAGACTATAGTTTCAGCCTGTCTCCAGCACTACCGAAAACCACCAGGAGGCAGGTGGTACAGCTACTTTCGGCCACGGGCTTAGAGCTTAGGGCTAGGAGTATAAGGATCTTGTCAAGGTTTAGGGTTTAGGGTTTGGGTTTTCGGAGTTTCCGAAAATGGGGGACTTTAGTAAGTATCCTCAATTTTAGGATCCTTATGATAAGGACCCCAAACTTAGGTAACCCTAAGTTTCGGAAACTCCGATTTGGGTTTAGGTTTAGGGGGTTAAGAAGTATACCCTAAGCCCTAAACCCTAAGCCCTAAACTGCCCTGAATTATCGGGGGGATCCTGAACCTGCAACCCTGGAGCCCACTTCCTGCTTATTGGAGGGTACTTAAAGGCTCATGGGACTTAGTAAGGGCTTAGGGTTCCTTTTGAGGGTACTATATATAGGGTTCTATAATCTCTTGGGTTTCTGAACGAAAACCCGAGGCTGCAAGTGGCTTTGGAGAATGCAACGAACCTGAACAATTTCGTGAAGGGCGTCGTCAATGGACCAGCCCTTGTTGGTCAGCTCACAAATGCACCTCCAGGCCTCCTTGTCGGCGGCTTGCATCTCGGCCACGTTGCGACTGCGAAGTCCCGAGTCGGGCGGTGGCCTGTGAAATGCAAGTTTGATGAACAATTTACTGTAGGCTCGGAAAGAGCTCAAGTGGGCTACCTCCAGGAGGCAGAATGCAAATGCAACAAGGTCCAGCAGGTGTGCCAGAAACATCTGGGAAACCCCCGTGTCCGCAATGTCTCGGGATGGAATGTCATCGAACAAGAAATCGTCCAATCGCGCAATTTTCTTGGGCCTAGATGCAGTGATTTGCTCTTGCTTTTCCTCGCTGAGCATGCATCGCCAAGAAATGTAGGAGTAGTGCTTGTCAATAAGGGTTTAGGGTTTAGGGTCTACTCAAAGGCTCATGGGACTTAGTAAGTAAGGTTATACGTAGGTTAATAACTAGGATAACCCCACTTATGGGACTTATAACCCCAATTAAACCCTACTTACTAAGTCCCATGATCCTCTAAGTAGGGAGGGGGACTTAGTACGTAGTTACTTTATAGACTTGTAAGTATCATAATCCCAGTTAGGATCCTTTTTAAGGTACTCGTAAGTATCATAACCCCAATTAGGATCCTTTTTGAAAAGGCTACTTAAAACTCTACTTGCTGCCTACTTACTAAGTCCCGTGACTCTCTAATTGCCTATCTGGGGCGGTGGCGAGATCGATCCAGGCCGCTTGGTCTTGGTCGTCTGTCCTTCACAGGGCTTCATTCACTACTCAGCGGTCTACAGATATGTTCTGTGTGTTCTTACCAGGCTCATTACAATATTATCTTCTTGCAATGCTTGAGGCACGTACATTGGTACCGCATTACATAGCAGTTGCTCACAGCTTCTCGCCGTGCGTCCTTTGATTCTGGAAGTCCTTCTGCACACACACACACACACATGGTAGCTGCCACGTCAACCTAAGACCAACGCCCTACATACTTACGAACGAATGTCCGCACTCCGAACTCTTCCTCTTAACTATCCAGATCACGCAGGTCCCCCCCAACCAGAGTCTCGGGCTCTGGGATTCCAGGAAGTTCGTCAATGTTCGGAGTCTGTAAGCCCAAACCCTTAGCCCATACCATGACCCTAGAAACTAAACACCCTAGGTCTGAATCTTCAACGCTTCCTAAACCTCAACTACCCTCTAATATAGCCGGACAAACAGTTCTCCACGAAAGGCTACCAGGGGCTCCTAGTACACCCCCAAAGCCCAGAACCCCAAACCCAAAATCAGCCCAGCAAAAATCAATAGTACTTAAAGGTTCATGGGACTTAGTAAGTAAGGTTATAAGTAGGTTATAAACAGGATAACCCCACTTATGGGACTTATAATCTCAGTTATAACCTACTTACTAAGTCGCATGATCCTCTAAGTACCCTAACCTCCTCTTTATAGAACCCTTATAGATCCATAAACTCTAAACCCTAAAGGATCCCTTAAATGATCCTTGAACGGAATAGTACACTTGAGAGTAGCCCGGTCCTCTTTGGATAGATTTGCTCGACGGCATGCTCGAATTCGATAGCCCTCAAGGAAGATAGGGTTTAAGGTTTAGGGTTAGGGTTCGGGGTTTAGGGTTTAGGGTCTGCCCTTTACGGGTTGGGGGGTTTGGAGTTTAGAATATTGCTTGAAGGCCTCTTTCCTCGCGACATGAGTCCAACGGGTCGGAGTCTCGAGCTCAGGATTGAGGGTTTAAGGGTTCCTCAACTTAGCCGTACCGAAGGGTGATGTTGGGTTTTTGGCTTGGGTTTTCAGTTTGGGTGTTTCGGATTGAAGGGTCTTAAGTTTAGAGAAAAAGAATCTGCTGCGACGAGGGCTTGTAAGCTATGTTCCCAACTACCCGCTTCGTCCTCAATCGACCAAGGAAATGATAGGGTTATAGGGTTCAGGGCATCTAGGGTTTAAGGTTTAGGGTTTGGGATTTAGGGTTTAGGTTCTAGGGTTCAGGGTTTATAGGGTTGGGGCTTAGGGTTTAGGATTTAGGGTTTGGGTCCAGAGTCCCGACATATTCCAGGTAGAATTGGATGTACAGGGATGCGGCAAGCCGCCGTTGCAAGACCCTAATTTGGTTATGCGGCCGTTTGGGCTGCAAAACAATGTAGGAACCTGATTGAGGGCCCTTGTCCTACGAGTATATGATATACATATATATATATATATAAGTAACACCAAACATTGAGGCCCAAAAAAAGCCTAATAGAGACTGAGGGTTTCTTACACAGGTTCCTATCTTACCAGCTGTAACCTGGGGTGTTGTATACAGAAGCTTCGGAAGGTGCAAGTTTGAGCCGGGGCTGCCTACTTTCAGCCATTTGGCGGTCAAGCTAAGATAGGGGCTTTAATAATTAGAACAGGGTTTTGGCGCATACGACATAATCTAAAATTAAGGACCCCCCAAAAAATATAGATCATTATTAAGGCCCCTTTCTTAATTTCCATTTGGCGGTTACGCTATGCTGTCGTGACTAGGGTTTTGGGCTCAGGGTTTTAGGGTTTAGGGTTTCAGGAACTAGGGGTTTTAGGGTTTAGGTTTCAGGGGTATTGGGGTGTAGGGTGTAGGGTGGGCTGCCGTGACTCGATTCCGCACAGGACACATTGGTGGGGTGTTTAGGATATGCTACGTGTCAGTTTCAACAATCCCCCAAATCTTTAATAACTAGTGCTCTATATGAAACAAGCACGGAAAGTAAGAGTTATCCCAAACCAATACCTATCAGACCTGTCATGCAATAGAGATCTTCCGAAGCCCTGAAAACCGTAAAACTCAAACCCTCAACCAGCTCGTTGGGTTCTCAAGCACCCGATCCCGGTGTGCGAGTTGCTCACTTTAATTCAATAGGGACTATACAAGGCTAACATGTCAAATTATTTCGAGCCCTGAGCAGGGTGTGGGAATGATGGTTTAGGGGTCATGGGCTTGGGATTTCCGGTCCGGATTCCTATGAGATTGAATGCGGCTGAAGACCGGTTCTCCACAAATGATGTAGCATGCTGTTCCTTTCAAGCATCCATACATGGGACCCTGAATCTCAACCCCGAGCCCTGAAACCCTGAAACCCTAAAACCCCCAAACCCTAAACCTTAGACCCTAAAAGCCCTAAACACCACCCCTCCCCCACTCAAACAAAAAAAACTCAGATGAAGCCCACATCGAGGCTGCAACGGGACGGCGTAGATCGAATTGGTGCTGGCCTCACTGAAGGGCTCAGGGGACTTAGGCATATAAGCAGACTACTTAGAGGATCATGGGACTTAGTAAGTAGGTTATAACTGGGGTTATAAGTCCCCTAAGTGGGGTTACCCTAATTATAACCTACTTATAACCTTACTTACTAAGTCCCATGAGCCTTCAAGTAACCTTACATATGAGTTATACTTACTAAGTCCCATGAGCCTTTCATCAGCCTGTGAGGCCCTTGGACCCGGAATGAACCACTGTGGTGTTGAGGGCTTAGGTTCGCAAGAGCCTAAACTAATCCGGCTTACACTATATCAAAGGGGAATAGGAGGGACCCTTGATGGGGACCCCTACCCTATAATGGGTTACATAATGGGTATATAATAGCTGTAGTAAGGGTATATACCAGGGCCCTGATTCAGGGTCCCTCCTTTTACCCTTGGACTGTAAGCACCAAGAATTCCTGGCAGCTTGCAGATCTCAGGGCTTAGGTTCAACAGACTGTTTCGCAAAATCTCTGAAGGAAGGGACCTTACCAAAACTATACTTCAAGTCACCTAAGTTGGCTTATCCTAATCCCTAAACCCCTAACTAAACCCTCAACTCTACACCCTAAACCGGCTTGCTAAGTCCGCCGCGCCTATCAGTAGTAGGGATCCTTAAGACGTGGACCTTTGCTTCAGGGAGGTTGGGGTCCCTGGGCTTTGGATTTAGGGTTTCGGGGTTTCCGGGTATCGGGGTTTAGGACTTGTAGGGGGTTAGCTTCAGGGCCATCGGGTTTAAGGTCTAAACCCTAAACCCTAAACCCTTAGGGCTTCGGGAAGAGCTCAGAGCCCGATACCTAGACTCCTAAAGGGACAAAACTCTTTTTCCCAACACTGGGTTTAGGGTTTAGGGTTTCGAGTTTAGGGTTTAGGGCTTAGGGTCCAGGGTTTAGGGCTTAGGGTTTAGGGTATCGGGTTTAGGGCTTACCCAAAATCCATGAAACCCAAACCTGACGACCTGAAGCCTTACATCAACACCGCGTACACTCTTGACCGCTTGTTCTTATCACGCATGGTACAATCTCGAAAGCTTGCTGACTTTCGCGAAATTTCCTCCAAAACTGTTGAATACCTGAAAAAAGCCGTACACATCCCAAAAGCACTAAGGTTCAGGGAGGTTCAGGGGTTTAGGGGTTTGGGGGTTTGGGGGTTTAGGGTCTGGGGTACTGGGGGTTTAGGGGAAATATAGGGGTTTAAGGTTAGGGGTTTAGGGTTTAGGGTTCAGAGGTTTGCGGTTGGGGGGCTTAGGAATTAAGGCTTAGGGTTTAAGGCCTGGGGTTTAAGGGTTTAGGGTTTAGCTTTGGTTCTTCTTCAAACTACACAGTTCGTATACGTAAATATTTTGAAGAACGGTCTGGCGCAAGACAGCCCGAAACCCTCAACCAAACCCTAAACCCGAAACCCGAGTCGCCGAAACTTTAAAACCCGTAACTTAAACCCTAAACCTTAAACCTTGAACCCTAACCCTGAACCACAAAACAAAACCTCTCAGTGCGGGGCTTGCGAGGCAACGCTTTGCTTCCATGCGCCTGCGCCGCCGGGGAGTCTTGCAATGGCTCCATTCAACTACCATTGCCCGCTTTTGCGTCGGTTCTTGTGGCTTTTCCTACTACACAGTAGCTGATTACTATCACGACTACGACTACCATGATCGATTATTGTTATTGTTTCTATAAAGTCTTCTACTAGCAACACTATTTTCGGTGCGCAAAACGAAAAGAAAAGGCCTGGGATAGGTTACGATCGACGGGAGCTTGGAGTACGATGCAACCTTGCCACCCTATCATACCAAGTAGTGACTGGTGGTTGAAACTCGTTCACTTCCCAATCTTCCTAGGTGTCACGGGGCTGTTCAGGTTGCTAGAAAACCAAGGTACCATGAAACCACGATATGCACCATGAACGCCTAAATATAGAGGAGTACTGCTTCATGATAGTGTCGTATCGGGGCATAAAACGGGACAATACTACGAACACTTCCGTCTTCTATACTAAACTAAAACACAAAGACCCAAAGCACTGAACCCAGAACTTCTCAATCCGGACACCCTAAAAGCCGCAACCACGATACCTCTACCTTCAGGTTTTAGGGTTTGGGAGGTTTAGGGCTGACGGCTTAGGGATTCTGGAAGCCTAGATGGAAACCTTATAGCAAGGCCTATATACGTATCCACACACAGTACATGGCAAGAAACCGCAATTGAAACCTAAACCGTTGTGGTTGAGGGTTTTCGGGGTTGGGCAGGGCTTACAAACCCAAGAGTTCACTCCAAACCCAAATCCTTAACCCAAAAGTTCCAACCACTCCAAACCAAATGCCCTAAACACGAAGTTCCAAACATAGCAGGCCCTCAGCCGATCAAAGAACAATTAAAAACTGAACATGTTCAGACGAGTCCTGAGCATCGCGGAACGGTGAGGCCACGTCCTGCTCTTAAACTCTCGCGGGCGAAGGCTTCCTATAAGGTTTTTCGTAAGGATGGGTTGCCATGAGTTGCTAGACTCGACGGATGCTGTAGGAGTTTGGGTCTCCAGGGCTTACTGGTTGAGGTTTATGGTTTTAAGTATTAGCGGTCACAGGGCTGGGCATTTAGGGCTTAGGGTTTCGAGCACCCTAAACCCGAAACCCTAAACCCTAAACCCCTAAACCCCTAAACCCCTAACCCCTAAACCCTAAACCCTTCACTTTGCTCTCGGGTATCGGATAAGGGGTACTTACAGCCTGCAGCAAACCCTAAACGCAAAGTCTAAACTCTTGCACATCAACTATATCCTATACCCTAAAACCCGGAGACCCAAAACCCTACGAGCATGAATTCAGAGTCAGTTTTTGTGAGAACATGCTCTTGAGTGTCCAGTCCGTCTCTAAAGGCCCCGACGAGACAGCCTTCCCTGTACACGGGACGCCCCGCATGCGCTTGAATGTGCCTGCCGCTCGGTTCTGCATTTCACCTGAGACCAGGGGACTCAAGCACGATGCAGAAGGCGGCCAGCTTCCTCACAGCAAAGGTCTCTGTGGTTTACTGGCATGAGTCGCTGCGAATACTTCCACCTCCATCCCTTTCCGAACGTGCTGCAAAGGCGGACAACACTCTCAGACCATCAACTAAAACACTCGTTGGCCCTGCATCCTGCCCCTGCTTCTGCTGCTCCCCCCCTCGCTTTATTCTGGGTGAGCATCACCAAATCACCAACCATGATTCCACAATTCATTTTCTAGGGGAACGAGAAGTTAACCTTTGTGATCTTCCTTCCGGGATTCTGGCATCCCGAAAAGTTCAAAGCTTGCATACACAAACACTATTCTTTAGGTCTCAACCAAAGCCCCAGCCCCTATTTTGAAATGCCGTACCCTAAACCCTAAACCCTATACCCTAAAACCAGACACGATCAAGCCGAATGCCAGCAAAACCAACTAAAAGGCAGCTTCGCATTCTGGTAAGGGTTTAGGGTTTAGGGTTTAGGGGCTTTTATTACGGATCCTCTCTACTATCCTGATACAGTGTGAAGGAACATCATGTTTCGAGGGAAAGCCCTCAACACTCCTGAGACGCGTTCGCGAAGGAGATGCGGCGCAAACCGTCATCGACAGAGGCCTTTAGGGTGCTAGTAGGGCTTGTGATGAGGCATTCGTTCCTTTCTGTCGTGCTGTTGCCAGCAGAATTTCTGTGAAAAAGCATGCTGAAAATCACGACAATTATGTTGATGATGCTGGTGGTGTCTCCGTTGTTGACGACGAATACCAGCATTCTCAGATTGTTCAACACCCTGAACCTGTAATCATAGCGCTTTTAGAACTCGACGTTCGACGAGAGGAGGGAAGACGATGACATAAACTCCTCAAGCACACTTGAAGGCTCATGGGACTTAGTAAGTAAGGTTCTAAGTAGGCTATAATTAGGATAACCCCACTTAGAGGATCTAAGCAGGGTTGAAGTTTGTCTTTTGTCAGCCCGACAGCTACAGGTTTAGGTGCTCCTTTAAGAGCTCCTGCAAGGGTTACTTTAGGGTTTGGGGCTTAGGCTTCGGGGTTGAGGGCTCATTAGTCACCAGTCGAGGCTTTCGGGGCAGATGATTCTAGGGTGTATATCTTCAGTGTCTTGTGGCTCTTCAATTCGCTTGCAAGCTGTTGCACCAACTTGCGACCTACAGAACATACTAGCTGCACTGCGATTAAATCGTGGGAACCCAACAAAACCATGAAACCTCGAAACCCGAGACTCTAAACCCCTAAGCACCTGAACCCTAAACCCCTCATTAAGCCCTAAGCCCTAAATCCCTAAGCCCTAACTTATACTCCAAGGTATATCCCTCTTTAGGGGAGCCCTTATATTTAAATTTCTTAATTGAAAACAGATTCACGTGGTATCCCGTTTTAAAGGGAGCCGTCTGCCTGGCCTCTGGGTTCCTTTAGAGGGTTCCTGAAAGGGATCTATCGAAGGGTTCGTAGGAGCCTTAATAATTAGAATAGGGCTCCCTTAAAGGGTTTAGGGTACCTGTAAACCCTATAAACCCTATGAACCCTATAAACCGTATAAACCCTAAACCCTTAACCCTCAAGGGACCCCTTAAGGGAGCCGTCTGCCTGGCCTCTGGGTACTCCATCTTCTGCAGCTTCGACTGAGCGGCGATCTTGCGAGAGGCGGCGGGCCCACGCCGGACCTGGCCGAGGGCTTGGGTTGTTGTGTTTTTTTTTGTTTAAGTGGGTTGGGGTTATATAGGGTTTCGGATTTCATAGGGTTTAGGTTCTAGGGTTCAGGGTTTATAGGGCTTGGGGTTGGGGTTTATAATGAACTTGTGCTGGGATTCCCCTTACTTCAGATTGAGGGCATGAGGATAGCAATGTTCCAACTTTCTGGCTTCTACTGCAGGGTTTAGGATTTCTAGGGAAAAGGGTTCTAGGGTTCCGGGGATGAGGGTTGAGGGTTTAGGGTTTGGGATTTAGGGTTTAGGATTTAGGGTTTAGGTTCTAGGGTTCAAGGTTTATAGGGTGGGGGGTTAGGGTTTAGGGTTTAGGTTCTGGGGTTCAGGGTTTATAGGGTTGGGGATCAGGGTCTAGGGTCTAGGTTCTAGGGTTCAGGGTATCTAGGGTTTAGGGTTTAGTTTGGGATTTAGGGTTTAGTTTCTGGGGTTCAGGGCTTATAGGGTTGGGAATTAGGGTTTAGGTTCTAGGGTTCAATCTAGGGTTTAGGGACTAGGATTTAGGGTTTAGTTTAGGGTTCGGGATAACTATAAGTTATAGACTGTATCCATGCCTCGCTGGACGGACCACCATGAGGAGTAAATCATCCCCTCTAACAACGATGTAGACCTTCGTATTCATCTCACTTTCCGTCTTTTGGATTGGGCCGGCGTAGGCTATGCTCCACCCTTCCTTGGAGAAGTCCATCGAACCCTCGAGGATGTCTCACCCAAAAGCTGCCCTCCATCTCTCACGGGCAAGGGTTTAGGGTTTAGGGTTTAGGGTTGAAGAATCAGGGACCGTAGTGTACGGCTAATTGCATAGTTCCTTTCAATGTTGTCACCGGGATCCGGAATCTGAGTCTTAGCACAGACCAGATACTTCTCCATTTCCTGGTGAACAATGTTGATCCAGTTCGGGATTCGTATTGCGTCCTCGAAGACGGCAAAGGACTCGGATGTATTATCGGCACCGAATGAGGGAGCCCATTTGCCAATGTCCACTTTCTTGGTTTTCAACATAATGATAATCTGGAACTGACGATGCAATCTTCATTCGATACCAAAGCAGAGACAGCTCCGAATCCAACATCTTTACATGAGACCCCCCACGTACCCTTTAGAGGGCTCCAATATTTCTCATTGAGAGGTAATTAAGGGCTACACTAAAGGGTAGTTGGGGGGTCTAGGTGGAGATTAGGATTTAGGGTTTAGGTGATAGGATTTAGGGTGTAGGGTTTAGGCTATAGGGTTTAAGATATAGGATATAGGGTTGAGGGTTAAGGATCTCGGGTTTGGGTTAGATGGCGCTGTCATCACCATCCGGCTAGGATCATCAGGATCATCAACACGGTTTTGATACTGATCATGATCGCCACATGACCGCCAGCATCGCCGTCATTAACAGCAGCCGTATTCATGTGTTTGAGGTGTTAAACACTCTATGTGCTAGTTCGGGGTGTGGTCTCAGACTCATTGTGAAGGCAGTGTGAAACTGCAAATCACTCCGATTCTACTATGGAGTTCAAAGTCGAAGCACTCCAGCACATGGGTATGCCTTCGGATTAGGTTTTGGGATGGAGTCAAACCCAGACATCAGCAAGCGTCCTGGTGCCTGGCAAGCTGAAGTCTCAACTCCTGCTGAACTCCAAAAGCGCCAACGAAGTAACCCACCTTCAAAAAGACGTGGAGCCTTCATACAGTTTAAGGCATATAGCATATTCATTATATAATTCAAGAATTCTGGAGTCTCTGCGAAATCGAACTCTCACGTCGATGTCGCGTCCTCACAAGCTTTCTTTGCTACTACGTATCCGCAGTTAGTGTGGCTTCACTACCATACATAGATAGCCTGCCGTAGAGATGCTGGGCAGTGGAGCTACTGGCTACTGGATGTGTGGGAGTGTGATGACACAGTTAAACTTGATGTTCAACTGAAGCCCCTAAACCGGACGGGCTAGAATACAGTCTCAGCGCTGCCTCCCCAAGACCAGCCCAGTGCCAGGCTGCATTAGGGTGCATTGTTAAGGGCTGTTCCCTGGCTGCACAGGGGTGCTAACACAAGCTGAACAAGCTTCTACCCATTGAGGCCACACCCATGCAATCTGTGTCTTGGTATGCACATCATCAAAGCTCTGAACTCCCAGAATCACCCAGACCTTGTCACCCGACAAAACCTGAAACTTAAGCCCTACAACCCCTAAGCCCTAAACCCAAACCCTACAACCCCTAAACCCCAAACCCTAAACCCCAAACCCTAAGCCCTGCAACCCACCCCGAAGCCCTAAGCCCTAATCCAAACCTCCTGTGACTCGGCCTCGTCGCCCCCATCACGGAAAGGTGCAGCGAAGTCCTACCAAGTTGCTCCTATATACGCTTGGGGCTTATAAGGTGTGTGTACATATACATATACATATATATATATATATATATATATATACACATATACATATATATATATATATGTATAAGTAAGTAAGTATATGTATCTCTATATAAGGCCTAGGGCCAGGGTTTAGGGCTTGTGGTAGCAGAAACCAGAGGGTCCATCTACATCAGGCTGAGGGACCGTCGGTCGCACCTGTTGCACAGAAGACTTTTTTTACTATGACTAGGATACCCAGTAGCCTAGGAATAAAAAGGGCTCCATTTTTGGTATTGGGTAACCTTGTAAGGAACCTAGGACTACAAAAAGAGAATAAGGTTACTACTGGGCACCCTAGATAAACATATGGGTAGTTTTGTAAATTAGGGTCCTTTTGATAGTGCCGCACTATCTCTGGGACCTACAAAGGGGCCCAGATGTACACAAGTACCCATGTGGCCGTCGTACCCGAAATCCACACTCATAGGGTTCAGGCTTCAGGTGGAGGGTTGAGGCTTAGTCAAGTTTCCGGGTATAGTCGAACTCCAAACCGCAGAGCCCTAACCCAAGTCCTACTCCCAAAAGCACTCCGAAAGCTTTGATATGGTAGTTTCCGAAAATAAGCCTTATTTTGGGATCCTAATTATAAGGATCCTACTATTTAGGGTGCTATGTTAGGGTCCCCTATTTTCGGAAACTCCCATATGGTGGTCTCAGCCAAGCAACCCCGGAACCCTGGAACTCCAAAACCCTCAAAATCCCAAACCCTAAACCAACAAAAACCACAAAACCCAAAGCCCTAAAACCCCCAAACCCAGAAACCCCCAAACCCCCCAACACCCCAAAAGAAGCCAACCCTCAGACCACGAGCCCTCGATTCGAAGCCCATAGGAGTTGAAAACCCTGCAGTTTGAGGCTTAGGGTTTAGGTTAGTAAGTAAGGGCTTAGGGTTCCCTTTAAGGGTACTTTAGGGTTCTATAATTAGAGTTTAGGGTTTAGAGTCTACTTAGAGGCTCATGGGAATTAGTAAGTAAGGCTATAAGTAGGTTATAATTAGGATAACCCCACTTAGGGGACTTAAAACCCCAGCTATAACCTACTTACTAAGTCCCATGATCCTCCAAGTAGGGTTTAGGTTAGAAGCTGCCCCCACCCTGTAATAGTGACCATAAGGATTATATTCGGACCCTACTATATTCCTATTATACCACTATTACCGGGTGGGGGCCCCTTCTAAGGTTCAGGGGTTTAGGGTTCGGGTCCCGTTCGATTTTTGGTTTTAGGGTTTGGGGCTGAGGGTTTAGGGTATAGTGGTAGGGTCTAGGGGTTTAGGGCTTTAGGGTTCGGGTTTTGGGTTTAAAGTTTAGGGTATGGGGTTTTGGGGTTTAGGGGTTTAGGGGTTTAGGGGTTAGGGTTCAGGGGTTTAGGGTTTAAGGGTTTAGGGTTTAAAGTTTTTGATACATAGGGCTTAGGAGGCTGGGCGCTTAGGGGTTTTAGTGTGCAGGATCCCGCGTACGGGCTTTTAAATAGGGTTGCTCTATACCCTCGCACCTGCACGCTAAATCCTAAACCCCTAAACCCTAAACCCCTAAATCCCTTCAGAGAAACTTGAAAGATCTTTAGACTTTACATCCTCCGAAACCCTGCGCCCAAACCCCTGAGACTCCGAACCGAAACTATGCTTGAGGGGTTTAGGGGTATAGGCTTTCATCCTTAACTCTCTGCTAAATCCCTTAACCTTAAACCGTTAACTCTAAAGCCCATCAAGCCTGAAGCCTCAACTCCCTTAAACCCAAGACACCACTAAAACCCTTGGGTTTAAAGTTTAGGGTTTAGGGGTTTAGGGTTTAGGGGTTTAGGGTTTAGGGGTTTAGGGTTTAGGGGTTTAGGGTTTAGGGGTTTAGGGTTTAGGGGTTCAGGGTTTAGGGGTTTAGGGTTTAGGGGTTCAGGGTTTAGGGGTTTAGGGTTTAGGGTTCAGGGGTTTAGGGGCAGCCCCTCAGCCAAAACCAGAGGACCAAAAGCAGGCCTCCGTCTCTGCTTGTGCCTTAAGGTCCTGCAGTTGCGAAACCAAACCGCTTAAAGGGTAGGGCTTCCGGTTAAGGGTTTAGGTCTAGGGTCTAGGACAAACAAAATCGGACCCCCCAAACAGGTATCCTTACAAGTATGTCAGGTTTTTAATGTGTCTGTTACACAGTTGAACGCACTTGTCCCGAAAAACCCTCATATCATGGTAGGTTTTGGGCTTATAGCAGTTTTCAACTATTAATGTCTGATTGTCGCCTGTTTACGGTTGGATCCTCACGAGAGCCTGGAAAGCCAATCTGAAACCCTCCCTGAAAGGTTGGGAGCTTGGGCTTAAGGCGGTCCAGCATCCTAGATCATGGGGCTTCGTTTCCTATACCACCCTTAAAACCATAATGAAAAATATGTTGAATACTCTCTTGGGTTTTATATGAACAAAAATAAAAAATCCTAAGGATAATATAGTTATACTATAGTTTCTGGGAAGTTGCAAATGGCCGCCAGGGTCTTCATGAGGCTTCCAAAGAGCTCAATGTCCGTTGATGAGGGGTTCTTTCCTTGATTCATTTAGGACAAGTGTATGCAAATGTGAGAAAAGCCGTGATTAAGCGACATTGGGGCCCTCATTGGGGTCTTTGCGATACAGTCCCCTGACTGACTAACGAGAAATACCCTCGCCCCTTCTTTCAAGGCCATATTTCTAGACATTGAGATCTTACGAGCATTCAACATGCGCGCACACGCACATTCACACACACGCTATCTATATGTAGGTATAGACACACATGTTCATCACCGAAGCCTTGTAAACCCCCTGTTTCACCCTCATTCAATCTGTAAAACAACTGCGATGCTAAAAGGGCGTGAAGCAGCCCAGTACCACCGTGACAGCTGAAAGCCGTATCTGGAAATCTATGCTCTTGGGGTGCCGACGTGCGGTTTAGGGCTATAGGTTCCGGGCATCAGGTAGACTCTTGGAATGTAGGATTCGGTCTCCGCGCACAAGGGCTGAGAAACAAGACTAGTTGCACACCTTGCAGGAGATCCTTGTTCTTGATCAGGGACCGAGCGAGTGCTATTGACATCACGGCTCCCGAGGATTATTCCTAATTCATGGAGGGGATAGGATTAGAAATTGAATTTGTTCTTCCTTATTGGGTTTAAGTACCCATAAAAATGTAACATGATACCCAACTATGACAAGGATTCCCCCGCGCAAAGCCTCTCTCTGCATGTGCGAACATGCCACATGTTGCAGCAGATCTCTCTCACTCTCTGCTTCTGTCTCCGCTTCTGCTTCGTCTCCCCAGCCGTCCTCGTGGGAATGCTTCTGCGCCCTTGGCCAGCGCAAATGCAGCTACAGAACAGTTACGTTGAACTGCGCAAATCCAGTTTTTTGGAGGGTCCCCTATGAATTCTATGAATTCTATCTTCAGGTTTGTCAATGGCCCTAAACCCTCAAGCTACAGCAAGAAGGTGATTGTGGTATAGTTACAAGGCTTAGCACTCCTCTGGGATGCTGCGCCGGAAACTATACGTCTGGGCCAGTAGTGAGTTTGGTGTTTAGGGTTTAGGGCGTGGTGCATTCAGATTCATAGTGGGGGTTTAGGGCGTAGTCCTTCCATAGTGGGGTTTA